CTCTCCACTAGTATTGGTCGGCTCTGCACTCGTCGCTCTCTTCAATTTCAACTGAATGCTTGCATGGAATCTTAACTGAAATTGTGGAACGGCTCTAATATACTTATTTATTCTTTCCTCTAATTTTGAAATTTATGTACATAAACTCTTTAAATGGACATTTTAATACTTTTACATAACTTGATTTGTTAACTCGGCATATGGTTTCAGAAACATCTTGTAGGGAATATCTAATTTCTTCAGTATTGTTTGTAGGCAATTAATTCTGGAAGAGCGTTATAATACTTTACTCCAAATGAAATGGGTGAATTAACTTCGAAAGCTGCAAAAAATATCAAACACATCCTTATAACCGTTTCAAATACATGTACACTTGATTAAAGTTTCTGTTCATTAGTAGAACTATTTTAATATTATTCGTTGCAATGTTTACGTCTTTGATTATGTGCTTATAAAAAGAAGTTAAATTTTCATTTCTTTTATAAGAACATATTTTACCAAGAATACCATACGCTTAGCTATGCGGAAGTAGTACGGTGATCTGCCAAGCATCATATTGACCAATAAGATGATAGCATGCCAACCTTAAAGAATGGAATGTCAGCATGACGTACCTAGACATTAATTATGAAAGTACGGAATGGGATTGAGCATGTCTGAATTGTATTTAAGCCAACGATTATTCTCTTTTTATACTCATCAACCACCTCTTCTATCTACACTAAGAGCAAGTATGAAGTTATCAATCGCAACTGTCGCCGTCGCTGCTGCTATCGCAACTACCTCTTACGCTGCTCCACAACCAGGTCATGGCCATGGTATTGAACATGGTCACGGACACGAACATGGTCACTTTGTGAGTACTTTGCTCGCTTGATTGGTTTTGTCTTACATTCGACACAGGCTCGCTTCGAAGGTCTCCACCCACATGGACACCACGGACACGAAGATCACCATGGCCACCACAAGCGTCAAGAAGATGAGGAAAAGAAACACGCAGTTGTTGGCAAGAAGAAAGAAGACGAGGATCGCCAACACGAGATAAGAGGTTTCGAACATGGTCACGGCCACCACGATCACCACGACGAGCACCACCACGGACACCACGAACATGAGCACCACCATAAGAGACAACATGACCACGACCATGGCCATGGTCATGGCAAGAGCGACCACAGCAAAGGTGCTGCTGACCAGGGTAAGACCGATCAAAAGGATACAAACCAAGACCAACAAAATTTGAACCAAAACAACCCAACTACCAACCAAGACACTAACAAAGATCAGAACAAGGCTACTACAGGTACAACCGGTGATGCTGAAGACATCAACAGACAACAAGCCCTTGACAATAAACAAGAAGAAGACAGATCTGGTGCAGTTTCAAACGTTCTCTCACCATTGGCGCTTATTGCTGCAACATTCGTAACGGTCATGCAATGGAACTAAAAAAGACACACATTACTTTTAACATTTTGGGACTTTCTTTTAAATAATTAATGAACACTTTCTCATCATTTGTAAATACATTTACTTTCTTTATTAACTTTGACTGATCGACATCTGTGCCATATTCCTAAAATGTATCTCAAGTTTTATATCCTGAAGCTGCTTTTCAAGGCCACGTGAGAAGTAACTTCCTTTCCCATAGCCTATCTTTACTTCTGCAAGTGCTTCTTCAGTTATCGTTATGCAGTTTGTTAACTTCTTAACAACTGTTTGCTCAGAAGTGCCCTTTTCTTCATTTCTATTCGCTAACATTTGCTTAGACAATTCGACTAGCATCAGACCGCGTACGGGATGACCATATGGTAGTATTGCCTTTGTTGATTCTAGTGTAGCTTTAGCCAATTCGACTGCCATAGATGGAGCCCACGATGGCATATCATCCATATACGAAATAGCAGTCATAGCTGTAAAACAGCTTCTCAAATATCTCAATCTATGGTATGAATGAGGTGGGTATGTCTTTACCACGCTTTCATAATGTGGTTGCAGTTGGTTGAAAGCCTTAATTGGATCTGAGCAACTATTAGTACAAATTCAAGCTCTGTAATGGTCTCTTACCACTTGTCATCCACTTTTCAGCTGATTGCAATGGTTTTGCCAATTTCAACGCGACTTTTTGTCCTTCATGCTGATCAAACGCGTCAACTTTGGAATCTGTATCTGGTCCAGGACCAATATCGAACAGATACTGCTTAAGTAGTTGGTTACGCTGTGCATCCCATGGCTCTGCACCATCTACGTAAGTTGTTGTTATCTATGAGGCTTCAATATCGATCAGAATAATGTTGTGAAACATACCTCATCACCCTTTTCAATGCCCTTAAATGCGACGACACTGAGTCTGTTATCCTCCTGAGTAAACAATACTGTTGAATTATACTCCTGATTGTGGTTGATACATGCTGCAAGAGGACATATTGCTGTACCAATCTCCATGAAGTCTGAACCTGAGAGTGCAAACCCATTGGTTTGAATTTTGCAAAGCATCCTCATGATATATGAAATTGATAGGTTATATCTAGACATTGCTTCGCGATCTTTACCACCTTGGGTGAAAAAGTCAAAGAACTCTTTCGCCTTATTCCCTAAACCAATCTTCTGCTCTTCGGTATAATTGTCATAAGCATCATACATATCTTCAACAGACTGACCCCATTCGTTGTCTCCAAGAGTGCGCTTGTGGTCCTTCATCCAGACGAACCTGGCTAATGCACGAACAGAATCCTGCGGTATGGATGAAGAACCTAATGAACGCAAACATAAACATTCGTTCTTATGGATAGGCCAGTCAGATTTCTGCGCTTCTTTGGATGCGTAGAAGATAGTCTTGCATAGTGAACAACGCGCCAGTTTCTTCATTGTACCTAACTCGCTTGCAAACAAGCCACCATATTCACTTTGAGCTGTGTATGAGCAAAACTGACTGATATGTTGTTTGTCTAGAGCTATAACTGTTGGTATTGTAGATAGAACAGTATGGCCAGGCTTCAAATCCCTCCTCGCAAATAAACCTCTTCCTTTATCCTTTGTTTGTCGTATTTCCACGTCAACGTTCAGTACTTTTATCAAATCCTCTTCTTCCAATCTATGAGAAGACGTACTGGCTTCGGTTGGTACTTCTGTTGATAGTTCAGTTGGTCTAGCGTCCACATTTTCAGCTTCCTGTCGCTTCTGCTGGGTTTTCAACCTGGCTTCTCTCTTAGCAGCCAAATCAGAGAAGCTCATCAGAGTGACGAAATAAGATGACGAAATAATTTTTTATATAATTACAAGTCTAAAAAGAAAGAACTAAAATCTCGTTCTCAATTTACCCTCATTGAAAGCCTTCGCATCCTTGAAACTTCTTCCTAAAAAGTCTGGTTCTTTGACTTCGTATATTCTGACTAGCCAGTTTTCAGAAGTGAATGCTTCATCTATTATCGCGCGTCAGAGTTACCAGAATAATCATAAAGTAGATACTCACCCAGTGAATCAAGTTCTGGACCTACTTTTGGTAATTTGACCTGTCTAACTCTATCTACGGCAGGTCTGGATCCGAAGAGGTCAGCAAATTTGTGATAAACCATCTTGTAGAGCAAGCTGTTCTTCATTGCAGGTGCTGCACCTTCATCCATCCTGAATTCACCCCTTGGTGTGAAATAATCTCTTTCATGGATCTCATCTGGCCAGATACCCTCAGCAATTCTGACCATCCAAAGGAATTTGTTGATATCATCTCCAGAGTAACCCAACAAGCCACCAAAAACGACGAGCAAATGAGTTACGTCATGTTTACGAAGGATATCGTAGCTGACTTCTTCAGGTGAAGCCATAATTTTACCAACTGTTGCAATATGTGTGTTGTTCCAGGTGTTATTGTCAACCAAGGTAGTTCTACCTGCCATACCTGCTAATTGGTAACCATAATCCCACCAACTACCTACAACAGCATCTTCTGATGTGGTTTGGTTAAGCCAATTGTAAGCTTCTCTGAAGTCATCAATAATGAGAGTGTCACCCTGTGGTGTTTTCGATGCCAAAACAACCGATGGGGATGAGTAGGCATTTGATGTGACCCAAGTAGAGTGGAAAACAAACAAGACCAACATCAAGAGCACATTTACAATGACAAGGAGGCGAGCATCAGGAGCCTTAATGCCAGTCTTTTCTTGGATCTTTTGAATGATTTTGGCGTGTGTTGCTTCTATCGACTTGTCTTTCTTGTCCTTCTTAGTTTTCTTATCTTTCTTTTCGCTGGTATCTTGAGCAACTTGTTCAGTTTCAGCCGGCTCTTGAATGTAACTATCGAGGAGAGTTGACAGAGCTACCGCCGAAGCCACACAAACTATTGGTGTGAGTGTGAGCATCAACCTGACCATAACACTGGCAAAGTAACTACCGAAGAGCGAGTAAATTATGACGAATACACTGGCTTCACCTTTTACGTGATCTGATAAAGAGCGGAAGCAGAAGTAAACACCAGCTGGGAACAAGTAGATCAGCATTTGTAAATCAAAGAAGAATGATGGCCATGATGTAGGTTGATGTTCTGAGACAGAGGCAACGATCGGAATGTGAACCTTTGCATAACCGGTATCCCACAATGAGTAAAATCTACCGGTCCATGGGGCGATTATGCCCTTTTGAGAAGCGAAAGCCATACCAACAATACCCAATGCAGAGCCAGCAATCAAAGTAGCTTTGAGCAATGTCTCAAATTGTTGCTTCGATGGTAAATGGGAGTGTACGAGTGTTGTGAATGCAACGAGCTGTAATAAACCAAATACACCTAATGCTGCCATGTGATCTGCAGTACCAACTGGATTGAAACCAACGAATGGAACTTGCATCGAAGCCAATGTACCGATTGTGTAGAATGAGCAATAAGAGATATATAAACGTGGTGAGTATCTGCCCATCAAGATAAGAGTGAAAACGTGAAGTGGGATAATATTGATAATGAACGCGTAACCACCCCATGCTGATACCATGTAGTAATAAGCAAGGGCGGTTATTGCACCCCAGAAAGCGCTTCCCAGCCTAAGTGACTTGACCCAGAGATAGAAAGTGAACATTAAGAGGAAAATAGCAATTGCCTCGTTGTCGTATGAACCTGCTACTGATCTGGAAATATAACCAGGAACGATACCGATGAATACAGCAGCGAGAAGACCCGCTCTTTCGTCCTTTACTTCTGCGGTGAACAAATAAGTGACATAAGCTGTTAATCCAGAGAATGCAGGTGCTAATAATACGCAGATGTTGCGAATGTCTATTGGTATATTTAGATTATGTAGAATCTTGTGTATCAGACCGGAAGTCAACATCAAACCTGGATAGAGAGTACCACCTGTGGCTCTACCAAGAGGGTACCTTTTATTGTTAAGCTGTTAATCTGTAGCATATATTATAACGCACCATGATGTGTTATCATACCAGTTCCAAAAGTTCTATTGATTTTTATTAGTAATGAACTAGAAATTCAAGAATAATAACGTACTCTAAAGCCTTGTGATACCAGTACTTTTGTAGCACGGCTGTATTGTCGTTAAGATATGGCTATGAGTTTATTTGAACTGACAAGTTAAACCAAGGATCGAACTGGAGTAGTTGAGTTATGTGTTATATGAATATAGTAGTACCCACCTCGTGTATTATACTATATTAATACGTTAAAGCTATTCTCGCTGTTAACTAGCACCTACCTTTCATGTCTAATCACAGAAAACAGACGGGAACTGACAGCCGCACCCGCTATACAAACGAGAATGACGAGCTTTAATAAGCTGCGTACAGTCTCAGAATTATTCGCAGACATGAACGTTGAATTGAAACGTCATCAGAAGATGAAATTGACTTTGATTTTAAGCGCATTTTATTTGTCTGTAGCGCATGCAGCTTTATTTACAGCAAAGGATCAAGTAAAGACTTTAGATAATGCTTCATTTGATAAGCATGTTCTCGAAAATCCTTATAGCACATCGGTTGTCAGTTTTACGGCAGATTGGTGCGGTCACTGTAGGAATCTTGTCCCAGAATATAAAAGCGCTGCAAAATCACTCTCTGGAATGGTAAACTTCTTTAATGTGGTAGGTCTTAGATCCGGAACAGAGAAGACGCTAAATCTAACTCCTCTAGGACTGCGATAGTGACATTAATCGTCCTATATGCTCAAGGTATGGCGTAAGGGGTTTCCCAACCGTTAAAGCCTTTACGAGGGGCAGAAAAGCACCACCAAAAGACTACAACGGTGAACGCAAAGCGAATGCGATATCAGAATGGGCAGGCAACCAAATTAGAAACCTTGTCACACGTGTATCTGATAATGAAGCTTTGCAACCTTGGTTGGACACGGAGAAACAGGCACCACACATTTTGGTTTATACAAACAAAGCAACAACATCAACTCTCTTGAAGGCATTGGCATTGAAGTATCCAGGTGCTAAGTTCGGCATTATGAAAGCAACCTCACGCAACAAAGACGTGAAGAAGGAGCTTGGATTAACTGGTGAATTAACCAGTCCAGCTGTCTTCCTGATCCGTGGTGGTAGCTTAGAAACAACAGAGAAATATGAAGGTTTGTGTTCTTGAAATATAGAATATTATTTCTAACAAGCAAAAGGTTCACTCAAATTCAAACCACTCAGAGATTGGCTCGAGGACGAGCTCCCTGAATCAAGTAAGACACCCTTCGAAACAACCAAGAAGGCAAAGAAAACTAAGAGTGAATTGTAAATATGCATCAATAAGCTTATATACCAAAAATATCAGTCTCGCAACTATCGATGATCTTTCGACAAACAGCCACCTCTTCTCTATAAATTTGTGCAACTTTCCACACAGACATGTAACGCGTGAGAGTAGCGTAAGTCAGATCAACATTGCTTAAAGCCACTCGGGTTTTCCATACACTGCTCGGATCCATCGTCATATTCTGCAAGGCACCTTGCTCACCCGCTCTGATTGCGTTGAGCAGTGCGATCTCTAGGATTGGACCATATGACGCCACAAGCTGACAGCAACTATAAAATGGCCAGTGTGGAGGTATCAGTATACCTTGCTGTGTTTGATGGGTTTCATCGAGCCTTATATAATGTAACATCTGTTCAGTGCATTCATGAATAGCGGTCAGGCTTCCAGAAAGACTATCTTCTAAATTGCAGGAAGCAGGCATCACAAATGCATCATCTAGTAACATCTCCATCTCCTTCATTTTGTGATTGAAAGCACAAGATTGAAAGTTGAAAGTCATGTCAGAGAACCATGCCTGTCTATGCAGATGTATCCGTGCAGCCAATAAAATCAGAATGGAAGTAAAGTTGAGCTCCTCGATGGTCTTATCAATAGCTGAATGATAGTTCGATCGTGCAACTGTTAGAAGATTGACGAGGATCTTGTCGAGGGCGCTAACTCTCTCGAAATTTAAGCGACCATTGACTTTTGTGCACTCGTTCAGGATCGACACCGCTTTGATACGACTATCGTACGCTTGTTGGAGATTTATATCAGATGCGACATCATCAATATCGACTGATATGGTCATATATGAATCAAACTGACGCGTAACAGTACCGCTTGTACTTAAGTTAAGAAATACGTCCAGAATATATAACTTAAGTTCGTTTAGCGACATCAATTAGTAAGATGTAATCTCACCTCCCACCATATTCTGCCGTATATCGAGTTTAAACGATCACCAGGAGTGAGAAATGGCGTTTTAGTATTCAATCCAAGTTCTAGAGCCACTCTGGAAGCGTATTGGATATGATCTTGGGCCAAAGTGATGTCATTCCTACCGTAATCATCGTGAATAGTGTATATGAGACCAATTAGGGTTCTTAAATCACGCTTTTGAGATTTTATAGCTTCGTCAGCGGCGTTTATCATTGATGCCCTCCTATTTCGAGGATCTAAACCCCTCAAATTGTCAGAAATTGTTAATGCAGAATAATAAACTAAATCAAGGTCTTCGCAAACGGTTTTGCCATCTATAAGTGGTACTCCATGTGCGAATAATGTAAAACAATCATAGTTATCTGTCTTCTTAGTTGGTCTACCCATTTTCTTCGAAGATAGTTGCCACTGACAATCTAAGCCAATTTTCGTGCAACGTTCACATGGTAATTGATCAGTTGTACTAACGCATTTCACTTTACTATTTCTGCAATTCAAACATGCTATTCTTTTGGCTTTAATGGTTGTCATTATCTCGGTGACTTCATCGGTGAGTTTCTAAAAGCCAGAAAAAAGTGACCGAGAACTATCCGAGAATGCTTAAATAGAATATTTTCCTGTTATTAACCACCAACTATGTCTTCTATCGAGTGGAATAACATTTGCTATCGTGACATTCTCAAGCAAATTTCAGGGGATGTCAAACCAGCGGAAATCCTAGCAGGTGAGAACTCATGCATTGATTATTATAATAAGCTAACACTCAAAAGTAATGGGTCCTTCAGGCTCTGGTAAAACAACCCTCCTTGAATGTATCAGTCGAAGGAAGAAGACATCATCAGGCAACATTGCGTGCTCATCGAGCACATCATTTTGTGAACAGGAAGATGCGTTGTTAGGTGCGAGAATGAAAAAGATATTATGTTCTTCATTGACGAATTACAGGTGTTTTGACAGTTAAAGAAACTTTAAAGTACTCAGCAAGGTTGAGTGTACCACATGCGACTTCGCAAGTAATAGAAGAACGCGTTAATGCAGTAATTGATGGATTAGGTTTACATTCCGTTCTTAATAATCGGATTGGTACTCCAATACAAAGAGGTATATCGGGAGGACAGAAACGACGCGTTAGCATAGCATGCTCGTTGGTACAATTTCCTGATATTCTTTTCCTTGATGAACCTACGTCAGGTCTTGACATTTCTACTGCACATCAAGTTATGACTGCAATAAAACGAATGGCCGTAACACACAACATAGCTGTTGTAGCTACAATTCACAGTCCAAATTGGGAGATATTCACACTATTCGATAAATTATTATTGTTGGCAAAAGGTGAAACAGTATTTAATTCAAAAATTGATCAATTGGTTCCATATTTTGAAGAATTAGGTTACAACTTCCCAAAATTTTCGAACCCAGTTGATGTCGTTATGGAATTGATAAACACGGATTTCGAAAAGCAAGATAGCAAGAGTATTGAAGAAGGTACATCTAGTTTTAACAGGTTGGAATCGCTCGTGACATCGTGGAAAAGTCATGAAAAGTTTCACGTGGCTGTAACAAACACTTCAGACACACAAATTCGCTCTAGTGAAAGTCTATCAGATTTCGTTCGAAGAACTTACATTCTTTCTGAGAGAAACTTATTCAACTATTCTAGGAATCTACTCGCTTATGGTGTTAGAATGGGAATGTATGTTGGATTGGGTGTTTTGCTCGCCACAATTTGGGTAAATCTGAAGCAATCTGACGATCGCTTGAATGATAGACTCTCGGTGCATTTCTTTTCAGTTGCTTTTCTCTCTTTTATGTCGGTTGCTGGAATACCAAGCTATCTCGAAGAAAGGGCAGTTTTACGAAGAGAACGAGCAAATGGGCTATATGGACCACTTTCATTTACACTCGCTCAAACAGTAATGAGCTTGCCATTTCTCTTCATATGCGTCGTAATATTCACTGTTATTTGCTACTTTTCAATCGGGCTTCATCCAGGCGCTTCGCACTTTTTCAAATGGATGGCTATACTCTATTTATGCATTCTTAATGCAGAATTCCAGTCACTTTTAGTCGCTTCAATATTTCCAGTATTCGTTACATCACTCGCAATCGCTGCATTCATTAATGGCTTTTTCATGTGTGTGCAAGGATACTTCATTAGAGCCGTAAATTTGCCTAGATTCTGGTACTATTGGGCACATTGGATAGATTATCAGACGTTTGGTTTTGCAATTCTAACCAAGTCTGATTTATTAGGTCTGAAATTTGAATGCAATGGAAGTATCGAAGATGACAGTTGTCAATGCTCCTATCCAAGTACGTTGATAAGTCAAGGAGAATGTGCCGTGTCAGGTGAAGATGTTCTCAGACAACTTGACTACGATGGTATATCAATTACGCTCTACTCCTTCATTTTAGTTATTATCATAGTAGTTTATAGAGTTTTATTCTATATTGTAGTAAAATATAACAAAGCTTAAAATATATGGTTCATTGGTGTTATTATTAAGAAAGAGTTCAAAATTTTCAAATTACATAACAGAATTTCGGAAGCTAATTCTTTCACACTGACAATTATGAGAACACCCTCATTGAACAGAAGAAAGAGGAGTATTAAGGATGATGAATTTATAAAACTCATAAGCATAGATCAATATGAATTTGCAATTGAGAAAACGATAATAAAACGACATTCGACGATAATCTCAACATTGATTACAGATTTTGGAGTAGGAAATACACAGCAAGACTTGCGAATCCTTCAACCAGCATTGACACCGCCTGTGTCATCAGAGAATGACACGGTGACGTGAGTATACTATTGTCACTCTAAGGAATGAACTAATGAAATGAATTAGACAGCCGACAAAGTTAACAGATCATTCAGTATTTGAGCACGATGTAAACAATTCAATTACGACATTAAGCAGTGTCGCAAATAAGATAAAAAAGAAATGCACACCTTTGTCATTACAACGATCGACGTTTAGGAGAGGAAGTGAAGTTTACGAGAAACCGAACATAACTCAAAATAACACAATGTATAGGACGGTCTCAACGCCATCACCGCCATCATCGCAAATTTTGAAAGGTGATTCACCATCATGCTATCCGTACACATACCCTCAGGGTACAAATTCCTTAAAGAGAAACATACGATTTTCAATCCCACGTGAGTATGGACTCAATAACCTTGGTTTGGCTGCTGGATCACATGAAATTGTTAACAAACAGACGCCATCACCTTCAAGTAATTCTGCATTACCTGGATTAGCAGAATCACTAGATCCACATACTCAAAACCATAAAGGCGTTCTTGAACCCTCACCATTCACCTGGAAGACAGAAAGTAAAGGTGACAACACATCGAGCTCACAATCGAGTCCAGCCAACAATCCATTTGCTGCACCTCTAAATCCACACATCTCGAGGACTAATAACGTCAAAACACGACCATCATTAATTAGCATGAAATCAAACGCGAGTGATGTACCTAAAGATGATAAAATCACGTACTCTAAAACTAAAGACAAATTGTGGCTTAGTGAAGATGCAAGTACACTCGAAGTTTGGGTTACTATAATGAAATTTGTGAACGATGAGTACACCCAGACAGAACTACTTAGTCGTACATCACAAGAATTGATAGAAAAGCTAATAGAATGCGTTAAAAAGTACGATGATTGCTCAACACTCAACTTAATTGAAGAATTTCTAACAGATTTCACAACTTGTTCAAATAGTCTTCGTAATTTGTTAACGGCAAAGCGATATGGTTTGCCAATACTCCATGGTACGTCGTTGGTAAAGATACAGCCACATATGATACCAACACTCACGGTTGAACAAATTGAACTCATCGGTGCTGAAGATATGCACGTTATTTTGAATAGCTCACAATGTCTTAATCTTTTGCAACTTCTTGTGGGTAATCCATATGCTACAAAATCACTTCACTTAGTCAATCTATCAGGAAATAAAGAGACTGTTTATTAGTCCATCGATGATGACAGCCTTGAAAGAATCATCTTGTATGGCATTCAAACTACGCAGACATAATCAAGAATATATGACAATTGACGTGCGTAACCCAGCCATAAATTTTAAAAAATATCTTGCAAATTAAACAACTCTTGCAATAAAAGCTTGTAAAACGAAACATACATTGTTAATAACAAAGGATATCTTGACAAAGTAGAAAAAAGGTTAATAAGAAATTCAGCTGATGTGTTTCTTGAATGCATTAAATGCCGATCGTTAAAATGTAATTAGTCAACGTATTTACTTCTTGAGCTTTCCGATGACTGATTCTGGTGAGTACTTTTGAATAACTCCCGGTGGGTGTAACATGTCAAATTCTTCAGTAGCATCTCTACCTGCATAAAGGAGGATAGCCTTTTCACCACCTGGATGTTCAGGTAAGAATTTTGTCACGTCAAGGACCTCATCATTGATGATGACCCAACAATCGTCTTTCTTATTATGCTGCTTGACATCTTCGACTGTGAATTCGGAAAGTGTTGGTGGTTTCTTTTCGACAGGTGCTTCAGCTGGTGCTGCCGCCGGTGCTTCCTCTGCTTCATTCTTTTCAGCTGGAGGTAATTGAGGGAGACCGCTGACTTGCTCTCCAGATGAGCTTCCCCAAGAGTATTCAAGGGTTACTTTAGAATTAGAAGGATCAATTCTGACTTTAGTTTCGAGTGGACGACCGCTAACGTGACCTCCAACTAAACCAAGTCTTTGAGCAGCTTTACCGTTGAGGTTCTCAGATAGCAAGTAACGAGCAGCAGAGTCACCGGCAACTCTACCAAATACAACGCAACCAAGCAATGATGAACCACCCAATCTATTAGCACCATGGACACCACCTGCTAATTCACCACATGCGAATAAACCAGGAATTGGACCCTTTTCGCCCAAAATCTCAGTTGATGCGTTGATTTCAACACCACCCATGGTGAAATGCAAAACTGGTGTCATTTCTGCGACATGGAATGTATCATCTAATTTCCATTCATCACCTTTATCAAAGAAGAATTTCTTTCCGAATGGATCCTTTTTATCTCCATGAGCAATATCGTTGTAATCATCGAATGTCTTCTTGAGAGTTTCTTTGGAGACACCCATCTCCTTTGCAAGTTCGGTACCATTTGTGAACTTCTTCATTAAACCACGTCCAACGTAGTGCTTACAATGCCATTCACTGCGGTTTTATATTAGTCAAAAGATCTCAAAACCATTATATAACCCACATTTGTCTAGAAGCAGGACCGTTTAAAATCAAGCGAATAGGATTCTTCTTAATTTCCCACATACGACCAGTAACGTAATCACGATGACCAAGTTCATCACAGAATCTTTGACCTTCGTTGTCGAGCAAAAGACCTCCAACACCTCTGAGAGCTTCAGCAGCTAAGAATTTAACCTTTGCTTCAGGTTCCTTTGGATCAACGAGACCAGTTGGGTGTACTTGAACTTTCTCAAGGTCAACAGCAGCACCACCGATACCGAGAACAAGTTTGTGACCATCACCGGTAGACCATGGACCATTTGTAGTTGGAAGGTGAACCAAATCTGGGCGATACTTAGATAATAAAGACCCATCACCGAAATCAGCTGCATAACCACCAGTTGCGAGAATTACAGGACCAGTTTCAGTGAATTTTTTACCATCCTTTTCATATTCAACACCGGTGACGACATGATCATTATCTTGAATTAAGCGAGTAGCGCGTGCTTTCTTCAAAACTTTTGCGCGATTTGGTTGATTTTGAGCGATATCTTCGAGTTTTTCCATTAAAGCATATGTGATTGTCATACCAGGGAATTGACCACCTTCACCACGATGAGTACGTGGTTGTGAGTGACCGCCAAGTCTTGCAACTTTTGACAAATCGAGGTTGAACTCATCAATAAGCCATTTAATAGCGTCAGCTGATTTACCGGTGAGAACTTTGATGAGATCATCTCTAGCTAAATCCCTTGCTGATTTTTTGCTATCTTGGAAGAAAATTGAAGCAGAATCTTTAATTTCTTTCTGCATTTGAGCTTCTGTACCAGCGCCATTGATACCACTATTAGTTGTGAGTTAATAAGACAGTAGTGTGTGATAAGCGCCCACCTGGTAGCCTTTGTAGAGTTACCTAGAGAGATATTAGAAAGTGTTGCTAAGAAAATAAGAAACTAACCTCCAAAGAAAGATGCTTTGTCGATAACGACGACGTTTGCGCCGCGCTCGAGGAGTGTGTGAGCTAAGAGGCTGTCAACAAATCTGACCAATGATAGGCGATATTTTACAAACCTGCAGACAGACCGCTAAGTCCACCTCCTAGAGGGTGTGAGTTAGGATATCTCTATCGTAGGAGATCTAGAGATGGCTACTCACCAACGACGATTGCTTTCTGATTGTCCATCTGTGGGTCTGTATAAATAGATATACTATGAATGGTGTATATTTACTAACAATTATTATCCTACTCTTGGACGTTGATGTGAGAGATCTAAGTAACCGGTTGATTTCCGGTAGTCGACTCAGATGACCGAGAGTTTGAAGAATAAAATAAAAAAATTACAAAAACTATTAATTTAGACTATCCTTTCTAGCTATTCTACGTTGTTGGGAGGACGCAAAACTGAATACGACAGAGCCAATCTTAGACAATCAGCTATACGTCATCATTTAACAAAGAGAGACATACCAATACGGCCAGCGTACCAACTGTCATTTCGTTATTCCAGCTATTACCATACCACCATATGCTAAAGACCAATGAAATGGCTTTCCTGACCGTTAATATCAAGTTGACTGATAAGTTTGATACTTTCTGTCGTATGTAATTAGATAATGGTGTCTCCTTATAGACTCCCACATACCGCTGTTAACTTATTTACACCTGTGATACAGAGGAATTGAGTGAAAACATTCGCTACTAGGAGGATATGCATCTCTGGTATACCAATAGTAGACTCCCCAAGTTGAACTTTCGTTGACTTGTTGAAGTACCTCAATTGTGGTATAATATTTGGTAAAAAGAATGGAATGAGTGGCATGGCGAGACTATGACTGTAGAACAGCATCTCTGGCCAAGTATGTGAACCATACTTTGCATAGAGCTTTTCTTGATTGATGCCCATGAATCCTGACAAAATTAGTGCCAATGCGAGCATAGAAATTCCGACTACGTAATCCCAACTAAAGTCGAAATCAAGTGGTGAGTGCTCACTTGCAACTTCTGAGCCTGTTTGTGGGGAGTATGCGGTAGTAATTAATGTACCAGCTGTAACAACAGCGACGCAGACTATCTGTGTAAGCGTGTATCTCCTTCTGAGAACAAAAAAGCCAAGTAACATTGATACGCATAAACCTGATGAACGAAAGACGATATGTAGCTATATAACGATAAGTTGGATATTCAACTAATTATCTACACCCACGGGAAGTGGTATCTTAAACCTAGAAAAACAAGTCAGACAAACGATGAAAAAAAAAGTAAAGCGCCCACTTGAAAGCAAAATTATTGAGTAAATTGACAGCGATAAATCCAGATACGATAAATGCCCAATCATATAAGGGTACTTGCCGTGCCTTAAACCGCAGACTCCAACTGCTGGATAATGTAAGGAAATGTGGAAGGTGATAGACGGTAACAGCCGCAAATTGAGCAAACGTTAGTAGGATACCTTCGATATTGTGAGTATAGACCAAAATCTAAGAGAAGAACGCACCACAATCTGGACTTTTACGCATTATAGACTCCAATGACCATGCATTAGAGCAGCAACCACCAAATATTGCAGATAATATCGTTATCCAATCAATCAAAATAAAAATCCACCAAAAATTACGTCTACTCATATCATAGTAGCACCTAAAGTTAGGTTTCCAAGTTACGACGATGTTCAGAAATATAATCTGTTCTAAAAATATATTTAGAAGAAATTACGTTACATCACCACCAAATACTACTGCATTTGATACCCATGGTTTCGTTAAACGCTTAGAACAGGAAGGTGTACCAAAGCAGCAAGCAGAGGGAATCATGTTTGGATTATCAAACGTCATCGATGAATCCGTGAGGAATATGGCTGCCGATATGGTTAGTCGTGCAGAACATGACAGGAATCATTACACTCAGAAGGTTAGACTTGGGTATACGCTCTATTCACAACTAACACGGCTAACGCACCACAGGTTGATTTCGCAGCACTCAAATCTGAGATTCAATTACACGAGAAAAGCGACTTGACGTCTCTAAAAGCCGAGAATGAGCGTTTGATGGGTGACGTAGAAAAGCTCAAACAACGTTTGCGAGAGGAGATAACACGCACTCAAGCGGGTGTACGTCTTGATCTTAATCTCGAAAAAGGTCGTATTAGGGATGAATCTAGCGTGCAGGAACTCAAATTGAAGGAAGTAGCAGCTAGAATGGAGAGTGAAGTTGCCGCAGTGCGCACTCAAATGGAGTCCTCAAAGATGGCGCTCTTGCAGTACATCATTGGTATACTCACCGGTGGTGGTGCTCTCCTCTTAGCATACCTCCGTCTGATCAGATAATTGTACTATTATACCTGTAAAATTACATGCACTAAAATACAAAACTAGTAACTGCTCGTTGAGCTGCCTCTCTAGCTGCGTTAGGATTAGCTGGGGGTTCTTCTATATTATTGTCATCATCATTGGTGTTATCGTTATCTTGGGTTTCCTCATGATTGAGTTGTTCATTATATATAGTCTCACTTGCTGGTTTCTTTCTCTCGACACCAAGGATGCCCATCAATTCATCCAACACTTCTTTACCAGCCCGCTTCGATGCTCTATCTGGCTGATCAGGGGGTAAGAAGTTATCATCGACCGTTTCATCGATGATAGCAAGATTCTCGACATTTTCGCCATCGAATACAACCTCGTCACCACCGCGTTTGGGTAAAGAACCCGCATTAGTCTGATTAAGGAGGTATTCCGTAACGTCATCTTGGTCGTTCGTACCTTCATCTCCAAAATGCTCTTTATCGGTATGCGAGTTATCCGCGATATCTTCTTCCTCGTGAGTATTGCGAAGATGCAGCTCTAATCCACCTCGGTTTGGTTTCTTCGACGCGCGAGAAGCACAAGAGACGCCCTCGTCTATGCCCTTGGCGTAGCTTTTGAGAGCCTGACTGAGATGCGTGTGTGCAGCATAATAGCCCTCGTACTGCCTCCTGGTGTAGCATTCGAAGAGAACATCGTGTGCTTTTTCGAGATTCCGCAAGGTATCCAAAGTAAGTTTTCCCTTCTTGTCATCTGTGTCTACTTCTCGGGGCTCATCAAGTATATCAAGACCTTCCTGCATCCTACCGTTCAAATTTCGTAAATTAGTTGCGAAATCGCGAGTTAAATCGCGTACTTTCCGCCAATAATCATCCGCAATTTTGGTATATTGTAAGGCAATGATTGCACAAACAAGTTCTTTGCGCTCTTGGTGTAGATTCTGACGAAGTTCCCAAAGACGTGTTTTGGAAAGCACCGGTTGGGGTTTTGTAGGTGTGATATCTGATGGTTTGACGGTCTGTTCTGGCGAGGAGTGTTCTTCGAATGGTTCCTCAATTGGCTTCACAAACTGCTGTTTATCTACCAAGCTGCTCTTTCTTGATGGTGCCGGTGATATATGTCCAATAGGTGTACCAAAGCTATTGGACATCAAAAGGGGAGGATTCCTCTCAGAATCCACACGCAGGTGTTGTTGTGAAACGGCTCTTTGACGAACACTTTGTGGTGGTCTCAATGGTGGTGGATGTGCATGTGATTTCGCTCTTTGACGAGATGCCCTACGATTAGTGTCATCCCTTCCTATGTTGAAAGCCTTATTCACGGGGGACTGAATGTAAGTGATAGTGGGTGACGTACGTGGCGTCTCAAGTTCTATTTCTAGATCCAATTTCCTTTCGTTTCCTGGGAATACTTGCGAAGTATGACTTCGACGGTCTTTACCATCTTCATGGCGTGCATACATTGCTTTCAAGGCCTTGAGTTCTTGGTCTTCACTAAGCTTGCCGAGTGTATCGCTCATACTCATGTACATCCCTTGTAAATCAATGAGACAATCATATAGACGCGTTTTACACCCAATGCTCACACCCACTTGCGAGAGAATCGTGTAGTTGATTTTGTCATTGTCAACAAACAGATCGTGTATAATTGCTAGATAACTCAATGATTCTGCCTTCTTGCTCGACTTTACGAGTGTTCCAATGGAAGATACAACTAGTATAACGATGAGAGTGAGAATCCTATCAGTAGCCAACGTGAATGTGATTATAAATAACTGTATATAGTGCCACCTGAGGTAATTCTCCGGATACGGGATATTGACTGGGTCATTAGAGAGCAAATGAGAGGAGACAAAGAGGAATTGTATATTAAAGCTGCTTATTTCCCAGCTACCTGGGAGAGATATAATATCAGATGATTCCTCAGTATTTACATTTGTATCCTCGACTATAGATTCATGTTCTATGCCCTGCTCTAAGTAAAAGTAAGCGGGGAATAAAACAAAAATACTAATAAAAGACACTCACCTTTCATAAAATCATCTAGTGGCGTACTCGCATAAACGACGCTTTCCATCCGTACGTTGATGAGTGCTGCAAATAAAAGACTACGGGTGAGTAATAGAAGATAGAACAACATATGACGAAATCTAAAAACATACTAGGGATTGCAGATATCTCGCCCGTTCGTTATTGGGAATACGGCTAGGGCTATAACTCAATCTGAGCGGGAGAATGACAAAACTATACCAGAGAACCACACCCACAGGTGGACGTTCTCAATACGCTCAGCTAGTAGTGATAAAGAGGGTGACTACGACGATGGAGTAGAGGGTACACTCGATGACAGCCTTCAAACCTGGCTTAAACGCGTCCAAGTTAGGTTGCATGATACATACAAAGATAACAACAAAACACTGGATAAACCACCATTCGTCGTTAGTGAGACTGGTTGGGGAGAGTTCGAATTGGTTATCAGATTGCATTTCAGTCCAGAATCGGGTGAAAGACCGCTTACATTGCACCATATGTTGAAATTACACCCTTGGAATGTGACGAAGAGCATTCCACGGGATGATGGATTACCACCAACTGTACACAGCTGGCAATATGACGAAATCGTCTTCAACGATCCCTATGAATCATTCTATAACCTTCTCATAGCAAATCCACCAGCAGAATTACCAGATGATGGTGTAGTAACGAAGCAAGCACGTGAGGAGGAATCAAAGAAACTAAACGCAGTCAAGAAGGAAGTCGTACAATCGACGACTAAACTCCGTAATGAGCTCATAAAGATGGAAAACGAGCTCAAGAATATCAAATGAATAATTTGTATAGTAAGTACAATAAAATAAGACCAAGAACTATCCCAACCGTGTATTTGTAACTTGAGTTTGCATGTTTAATCCTTTGTTTGATATTTGTACGTGCTATGCCATTACGAAGGCTGTCTAGTATACCTTCCTAAGCTTATTTAATAAGGCGCATCTATATAAACTATAGACTCACACCCTCGGTAAGATCACGCATTTGGGATTCAGATTGGTCGTATATATCACCAGTCGCATTCCTCAGCCGTCTGAGTTTATCAGAGAGACTCTCAATTGAATCGTCATTCTGTTGCTCTATTTCCCGCCTTTCGGGATTTCTTTAATCGTTTAACTACCATTTCTATCCTCACTCACGATGACATTATGATAGAAATGACGAAACGATGCAAAAATATAACAAAACACATAACAAAATTAAATTTTATCTTCCCATTGGAACCCTCTTATAATAGAGCATATAACCATGTTTAGACACGACCTCCTTTTCGTTAGACTTTGAAACCCGTGAATCTGCACAATTATACCACTCATTGCCAGAATTTACATTAGCAGTGTAATGTCCAGATTGAAGGCTACCATAGTGGTTTGTAACGCCATAAAGTTCATAAATAAATGGCGGATGTTGAAGTGTTGGATCATCTTTGTTCGTAATTCCATAATATTGATTCGCCATGTGAGGTGTGTACGGTGTAAGGTTAAAATTCTTGAGGGGGTATGTCACCAATGTTTCAATTTTATCACTGAATGGTCCATTGAATGAGAAGCGTTTTAATTGAATTAGAAGGATAGGTGGAAGGCGAGCAATTGATAATCTTTTTATTGACTTTCTTGCTACTTTACAATTTGGACAATTCCATGCGTTATCCTTCTCCATAACTTCATCTTTGAGAAAGGAGTCCAAACAGGTAGTCAAGGAGACACTACCTTTGAGTTTCTTCGTTGGAACTGGAAGTGATAAATACATGAAAGAGTTGTAAGTTGTGCTTGTTTTATGACAACTCATACATTCCATTCTATTCCTAAACTGTCCTTGGAAGTAATCTACTATTACACTATCATTCATTTGCTTATATCGCTTCCATTCTCTTTCTGAACCAAGGGGTGTAGGCAATGACTCAAGGGCATCATTGTTGGTATCCTCCGTCGGCTTTTGTCCTTCGCCAACCATGAGGTCCTCATGAAGACCATCAAGGAGGAAAGACAAAAATTCCTGAGCGTCATGTTGATCAGTACCTATGAACTGATTTGCAAAGGTGCATATATTCTTTCTAAACGTCATTGGACTAATGAATGTGTATTGTTCACGCCACATATGAGTCAAAATCTGAGAAAATGACTCCGCCAGGCGTCCCTGCATACCCATTTTGTTATTATGATTTACGAAACGTCTCCATACACCACTTGTGAAGAAACGAGCGAAGGGTATCGTTGCTGATAAGCATTGTAGTGTTGAATTCATGTAGCAGGTATTACCAAGATTTTTCAATCCTGTTAAACCGGTGACATCACCATGCCAATAACTAGCTTTAAAAAGATGTTGTTGATTCTTAACAGCCTCTTGAGTATTCTGAGTTGGGTAATTAAATTGTAAACCACCATTGGTAGCAGGCGACAATGGCTGAGCCGTTGGTGGAGGTAACTTTGGTGTACTTGTGGAAGTTCTCATGATTGATTGGTCTTTTGATATACTTGGATAATCAATAGAAAGGCGAGGCCTATAGCCAGAGTAAGGTTCTGTGTCAACTTGATCACTCCGTCTGCGGGTGTGAGGTGGACGGCGGGATGGTATCGGAGGTGTAGGCAATTGCGACCGATCGGTGACAAGTACTTGTGAAGCTGGCTGTGGAGGTGGTTGATAGGATAGGTAATCAATTGACTGGTTTGATTGATATGATGGTGATTGCTGAGAAGACTTAGAATGACAATAAAGGTGAAAAAATAGAGACTCACCATAAGTACACTGGAGTTACGTTTACCAATATCAGGGGCTGCCGAAACACTCCTTCCTGCATTGGCGAGTAACTCTGGGGTTGGTACTTCGAATCTCTTTCGTGAGTTTGACGATGATCCAGTATCTTCAACGCCGACGTCGCCTATGAGTTTCTCATATGCTTGAAAACCACCTTTGAGAACTAAATCAGGGAATTAGAAGAGTGTTTTATGATAAGCCACAACATACCAACTGGAGGATGCTGTAAATCGTGAAGGTTATCAGCTAATCTCGTAAGGGTAGGAGGAATCGTAGCCCCCGAGTCGTTGTCAAATATCACGACGCATTCAAATAGGCTTCTTTTTTGAAAGACCGAGTGACCACGACTGGAGCTTGACTTCACGATCCTTTCGAGGGTTGCCGGGGTGAGATCAGGAGTGAGAGAATTTGGATCAATCCAGACAACGCCTGCTCTACCTTTTCCACCTGGTGGATGTAAATTGATGCGCCGCCGCTTGTAGTCATCCAAAGGGCGACAATCGAGGAGGAGTGTGGCTAAATCACCAAAAGTGGTACTCGAAAGGTACTTGTATAGTTTGTGAGGGTCGATCGTTTCAATTGAAGTATTATTGGGTATGGCGGAAGGGATAACTTCCCAATTATCAGCATAATTGTTGCTAGTTGAGGGTCTATTGTAGTCGTCGTCAGATTGATAAGAGAAATCCAACTCGGATCTAAGGATAGCCTCTAGAGTGCCAGCTGATTCTATGATTAAAGGTACGTTGGTAGATAGAAATGTCGTAATTTGTGAGGATAGCTGATCACGTCTGGATCTGAGCTCTGGGTGTTTTGATAGGATGTCAGCGACGCCTGCAGCTCTCAACCACAAGACAAAAGCCTGGCTATTGTTACCAATCTGGTGTTCCAACTGAGCGGATCTGATGAGCTCTATGAGGGTGTTGTACCACGCCTTCAAAGGGTAGTGACTATTCGGAATCCTCGCCTGATCTCTTAATTTATTTAATTTATAATTTGTTGTCCTCGTCGTCGTCATCGTCACCGTTGAAGAGCTCTTTAATAACTTCAACGATGTACTCTATTGCACCGTAAGTAGTAAATAGTGAAAATAAAAAATTGTGTATTTATTTTTTCAAATTTTAGTATCACCGGTAAATTTAGGAAATCTGTTATTAGAGATATCTCTGTTTCATTAGGTTTGGGCACTGCACTTGGATACGCATACTGGTGAGTATATTATCTACTAGACGGTCTATGCTCATAAATACACAGGTGGGGCGTACATCTTCCAGCTAGTTAGTATAGCCTCTTAGCTATGTGGTACACCATCTAACACCCCCGTAGACAGCCAAAGAGATCAATTCTATCTCAAACTCGCAAAAGAAAAAGAAGCTAACAATTAAATAATATTATCTAGATTTTACATTCAATTTAGATGAATTAAGTTTATTAGTTGATCTCTCAGTTATCTTCTTACTATAGTAGTGTGTCTCTATAGCTAGTCCATCTTTGTTTCTTTGTATCGGTTGGGGGGAATGCGTATATCCAACTACTTGAATAGCCATCGGTTTTATTTCCTCTATATAGTTATAAACCTCTTTCGAGGATAATAGACCACGCCATTGGTGGTGTTTTACTCTAGCAGTAGTGTATTCAAATTCTGGATTATAGTTATTCGTATATCCATCTGATACGTACGATGGTTTTAGTAGCTTACTATCAAGCTTGACTAGTGATATCCACTCTAAGACGTCTTCAACGTTAGTACCTTCGTTAGGTACAATTGAGTCTATTTCGTTCAATGTATATTTAGCTTTTATGTCACCACTTCCGTCAGTTGATAATACAGGTGATTTCGTAGACATCTCGATTCGACTCCGAGTGTGACCATAAAATTTACCATCAATTATGGCTTCATTGTCAGTTAAAGATAGCTGTGTTAGATTATTACTATCCAACCAGCCAAAGTGTCTATTATAAAAAAAATCCTTAATGTCTACATCATTGAGGGTGATAACATTTAATTCAAAAATTAAATCAATCATTTAAATAATTATGTGGGTTTGGTATATTAAAAGAAGATTGTTTTGACGCTATATTCAGTAGTTTATCCTCTCTGAGCTTATCTAACCTGTGTATCTCCCTTTGTTGGTTAGCTAGACTGTTATATGATGATTGTAGCTGTTGAGATTTTAGATTATTGTTTATCTCTTCAAATGTTTTGTTTTTATTATTATAGCTCTCCAAAATATCAAACCATTCAAATAAGAAGTTGTTATCATTATCAATTATTAATTTATCATTCTGTTCTAACATTGAATTAACTGCAGAGGAGTATCCCCTCTTATGGAGGTAATTTATAACTATATTATCTAACCTATGATATAATAAATATTATTATTTACTAGGAATTATCCTCTCTCACTCCTCTACCGTCATCATGGATGATGATTTATTAAAACCAACAAAGAGACCCTTAGATCATACGCCTTTACAATCAAATAAAAAATCTAAACAAGGCGCTTCTTCGTCCTTTGTACCAAAGCTATTCCAGATGGTAAACTCTAACACTAATAACCTCATCACTTGGAATCTAGCGGGTAACTCCTTCATAGTAGCAAATCTCGGCCAGTTTAGTAGAGACATCCTCCCAAATCACTTTAAACACTCTAACTTTAGTTCTTTCGTTAGGCAGTTAAATATGTATGGTTAGTCTTCTGACCTTTTCTTCTTTTCAGACCTTCTAAATACACTTTAGGTTTTCACAAATGCAACAAAACTCCAAGGGGTCAGAAGTCACACCCTGATCATCAGGTGTGGGAGTTCAGCCACCCTAAGTTCCTTAAAGATAGGCCTGAGCTTTTGGACGATATAAAGAGGAAAGTTTTAGATGCACAGGATAATACAGACAACACAAACACTTCACCTAATAAATCAACAGACTTAGCTTCCTCGGTAGCCCTTTTACAACTCAACCTTAATCAGTCTAACCAACGTTTGCTATACTTGGAGCATCAGTTACACCAATATACTTGCGAAAATCAACACCTAAAAGACGTAGTTAAACAATTATACGCTTTCCTATACGGAACCCACGGTGGTTTACCTTTCGAGTATCCTCCTCAACTAATGCCTGGACATGCAGAAGCTAATATAGCTTCACCCGTACCTCAACCTGCTCAGTTACAGCCTCAGCAACCTCCAATATTTATCACTTCCCCTGATACTAACTCGCAATCTGTAATGTCTCCTTATCCTTATTCTCCTTCGCAATCTTCAGTTGCTTCTCCAGTCGCAGATATGTCAACAGCACATAGTTCTCCATACGCTTCTGAATATTCCACTAGCTATAATCAACCGCCACTCTCGCCCCTTAGTTTAGGGCCACCGCAACAAATCTCTCAACGACCGATGAACTTGTCAGTCGATACTAATTTTAATCTCTTTAATCAACAATCACCTTCTTCTAATAGCAACCTAACCGGTTTGGGTATACTATCTCCTTCTACATCTGACAACAATAGTAGACGTCTCAGCGCACATTCGCATACATACTCGAATAGCTCTTCGATTAATGAAAATAATGACCTTATATAGTACAGCTTCACGCAAACTTCTCATTCTAAAAAATGGATCTTCTTTTCTTTTTACCTTCTTTGTTGTTTTATTTATTTATTTTCCTTTGCGTCATTTGACTTTGATAGAAACCAAATGGTAGTACAATCGGCGAATTCGAAATTAGCGTTTCATGACAGAGAGACAGATATATCTGAGCATGGTATAATTGGTAATTGTAGAACTGCTGCATTAATTAGCGTTAATGGCACCGTTGCGTCATTATGTTGGCCATATTTCGATAGTCCGAGGTTAGTAATGTTGTACTGTAGAAAAATTTCTTAATTTATCAAATGAAGTATATTTGCTCGTATAGTTGACGTACAAAAGTGTGTTATCGATTACTATTCCCACGCTAAACTAAGATTAAAAAAATAGGGGCGGACATTGGAGTATGGAACCACAAATGACAACAGTTAGCAAACAGGTAGGTTATGGTTCTTATCATTGAATAACCCAGCTTATTCAGTTAGATGTACCTCCCTTCGACAAACATTCTGGGTACGAAGTTCTTAGCGGATGATGGTGAGTTTTTATGTCTTTAAGTACCTTCAGCTTGGCTTACAATATATATATATAGCCGTCGCAAACGTTGAAGGTGGGCTTTCTCTCCTTAAAAAAATCACAATCTAAAACATGATGAAAGATTTCATGCCACTACCGAACCCAGCTGATCCACACCCGGAACCATATTTACCATGGTTAGTCCGACGTGTGGAAGTTCTTAGAGGTACCATGCAATTCTCCTCTGAATGTGCACCAGCTTTTGATTACGCCAGATCAGAACACACAGTTCGCTTATCGAATAATGATACAGTTGGCCACTTTGACTGTATGAATCACATCCACGTAGATCTGAAATACACTGTTAGTAAAGGTACGAACAACACACCAGAACCAACCGTTAAGATGGTAATAAGTGATGTCTCAGAGAGAGGTTTCAAAGGTAGCGCTATTACATCTCAATTTACACTCTCTGAAGGTCAAGTTGTTACTTTCATACTCTCACAGCGTCCTATACCATCTAGCGTCGCTGAAAGGAACATCAGTAAGGCTGCACCACCTTTAAAGAGAAACGATAGTAGCCAATTTCAAACTTTCGATCCATATGATGAACTCGGACATTCTACTCTTTGCTCTTCTCATAGCTTTGCCAATCCAGAAGTTGATTTCAAGTTTACTGAAAAATTGCTTGAAAGTACCCAAGCATTTTGGTTGAGTTGGGTAAGTAAAATGAAATATAAAGGAAGATGGAGAGAAATAGTACTCAGGAATGCACTCACGTTGAAACTTCTGACATTCTCACCAACGGGTGCTATCATTGCTGCACCAACTTTCAGTCTTCCGGAGGATCTACATGGTGCGGGGCGCAATTGGTAAGTTTGTGTACCTTCTAAATTACTTTGCTAAACATTAGTAGGGATTACAGGTGTGTTGGTTTTTCTTCTGCTGTATTTAGTTCACATATATAGATACGCATGGCTGCGTGATTCATCATTCACCGTGTATGCACTGGTAAGGCTCGGTTTCCAAGAGGAAGCAAATGCCTATGTTGGTTGGATATCAAGTCTCCTTCAATGTCCTAATGATGATGGTGGACTTCAAATTGTCTACACTATTCACGGTGAACGCGAGATGCCTGAAGTTGAACTTAGTCATCTTGAAGGACATAAAGGTCAAAAGCCAGTACGCATTGGTAATGGAGCAGCTGATCATCTCCAATTGGATGTCTACGGTGCTGTCCTGGATGCTGTATATCTTGCTCAAAAGTATGCTAAGCCCTTATCATATGATAATTGGGTTGGTATACGCAACCTCGTCGATTATGTTGTCAGATCTTGGGATCAGCCTGACTTGTGAGTTGAATATACAACAAAATTCTTATTAACAAAGCATTCAGATCAATATGGGAAGTACGTTCACAAAAGCAGAACTTTTTGGTGAGTAACTTACGTTCCTTACAAATCCCTCCAACATGACAATTAGTACTCAAAGGTATGTATTTCTAAGCGATCAATAGACCACAATTTAATCATATATATAGATAATGTGCTGGGTAGCGATCGATCGTGGTTTACGTTTAGCTCATAAGAGATGCCTTCCATGTCCAAACCGCTGTAAATGGTTTGAAGTACGTGACGCGATTTATGAAGAAATTCAACAGAGAGGCTACAACAAGGAGCTTGGGTTCTTCTCACAGAGCTACGAGAATAATGACGTCTTGGATTCTTCTGTGCTCATTATGACGTTGACATTCTTCATACAGCCATGCGATCCGAGATTATTGTCTACACTACAAAAAATACTAGCATCACCGGAGAAGGGCGGTTTGAGTGAGTAATTGAGTTCTTTGAGAGTTTTATTTAACAAGGCACAGCTTCTAATAATTTGGTGTCAAGATACGATGTCACCAAAGTCAATGACGGGATTGGCGGTGAAGAGGGTGCATTTAGTTTGTGTACATTATGGACTTGTGAAGCATTATGTCGCGCTGGTGCGTATGATAAGAAGCTACTCACGCAATCGATGATCATGCTCGAGGATTTCCTTGGTTATGCATCCACGTTGGGACTATTCAGTGAGGAGATTGGTAAGGGAGGGCAAGCGTTGGGAAATTATCCGCAGGGTGACTATCACTTTATTCGATTATATTTTTCTGACAACTCATCTAGGCTTCTCCTCCGTCAGCTGCATATCTGCATGTTTCAACATCGACAGAGCATCAGGATGAATTCGTGTTATTTCTAAATTTTATTTTTTATTTATCAAAAAATGAAGGATTTTTATTGGTGGCTAAGCAATACAATAGGGGTCTTCTTTGTGATGCTCTAACTTTTTGAGGACCGAAACCTTGCATAATAAGCAGAACCCTCAAAATTTAGCAGGGCATAAAAACTTACAAACCTTATTAAAAAGGATTAAAGAATAATTTTCATAAAAAACATATCCTAGGTGGGTAAATTGCATCCGTTCCTGAGAATGTTTTGACAAGAAATAAAGGGGGGAAGCTTCAATTAAGACTGTCAAACTGATTTCTGGGAACCCTCGTTCTACTACTTTCAAGAGTTAGCTTATAAACTTATTTTTATTATCAAAACACGCAAAAGAATGGACTCAAAGATTTCAAGAAATCAATCTGAGGGAAGCCATAAAAGGGATGGTGTTTTTGGAAGATTATCATCATTTCCTTTCGAAGAATCTAGCGGTATTGAAACGTCGATGATTGGAAAGAAACCAAACTTTATTGCCCCAAAGTTTGAAAGAGAATATGATTATCAATCTACCGCAATAGAAGAAGAATGGGACGAACTCGCTAGAGCTAAAGCAGAATTAAAGAAACGTGAAGCTGAAATAGCAAAATTAACTGAGACATTATCACTTAGTAGTGCGACTGTCTCATCAAAGAATAGCGTATATAGTGAAAATAGCGACCATAGTGGACGAAGCAGACGTAGTTCAAAGATGACACAACACAGTGCACCAGTTATCGTACAAGCCGTCCGTAAAGTTGATACAGGTGGGGGTATGTGGGGATTCGAAGCACCTAATACGCTACCAGTTTTGATGCCAAATGGCGAGATAGTATACCCACGTAAACCACGTCCAAAGATGCCACGTAGTGAAAGACTTCGTAGAGAGAAGGAGGCAGCTGAAAAGCAAGAACGTGAGAAGGTACTAGAAGAGCAATTCAAGAAGAATACGAAAGCTCGTGAAATGAATGATGCAAAAGCACTCGAAACTCTCGAAAAGAGTATCCTCACTGAGCGTAATAGAAGTCAAAGCGTCAGCGGTATGCCTTTCAAACAACAACATCAAGCAGCACTTCATAAATCCAAATCAAGCCCTCCTGATCAAATCTCAGCTGACCATGATATCGCGGAATATCAGTTAGCAAGACAAAAAGCTTTCCCTATTCCAGAGCCTTCATTTGATGATGGTATATCCCTCGCCGAAGATCACAAATGCTCACCATTTGCTGTTTCTAATCTCAAAAAACTTTTCAAAAAGTAGGACACAGTAGGACAGTGGAACACTTTATTTACCCCGAATTTGCACGCATTAATGCTTTGTTACCTTCATTTGTCATTATTCCATTACACTTTCTTTATTTACAACGTTCCTGGTAGTGTTACATTATCTGTGTCGTGAGATCTGCTACGATGTTTGAGTGAATCGACGTGTGTATTTTCGTATCTCTCCTTGTCAGCGTCACTTTTACCGCGTAATTCGTTTTGTCTCTTCTCGAAATCTACACTCATCATGGCTGCCGCAATTGGTGTTGCGATTGAACAGAGGAGCCCCACAATTGGTAGGCGTTCAAGGAGGGCAGCCATGAAACCAAATGCTGAGTTTGTTAGTGAGACAGCCACAACAGTAAAACAAAAAGCTCACATCTTAATTCGAAACTTCTCTCTTGAATAAACAACTCTTGTTCGTATGCTGTCATACCTTTTTTGACAAAGTATGGTTTAAGGAGACGGCGTGCGAGAGCAACTGAGCGAAGTGCAGCACCCAAAAGTAAACCGACACCTGGAAGCACATCCAATGGGAGTAATATAACCTTTGTAATGAACAGATTTAACAATTTTGATCGTTTTTGACCTTCAAAGAGACCTCTCCAGCCGGTCTTTCTGGATGTAGCTAACTTTTCAGCGCGTAATTTGAGTTGCTTTCCTGATTCAGTCTCTAAGTTGTACTCTTCAACGTATGGACCCCAAAATGAGTCTGATTTCGCGCGTGATTGGATTGTTAAATCGTATGCAATCTTCTTCGATTCGGCGATACGTTTGTAAAGTAAGAACTGCAATATAGCAGTCGCTTGTGCACTGACAAACATAAAAGTAGCAAAAGTAAGTAAAGGTATATGATTTTCAAGTGCTTTTGTTGTGTATTGTAAGACTTTTGGACTATTACTCATAAAAGTAGCAACGATTTTCTTTTGTATTTTCCACGTCGATAATGACCATAATAAAGCAGAAATTGCACCTCTAGCTAAACCTTTGCGGCATATTAACCTAGATTTCGTCAACTGTGTAGATAACGAAGGAAATAGCTAACCATATAGGATTTCTAACTTTTTCATCTGTTATTAACCTATATACACCAACTAAAGAATATAAAGGTGATATATTTAAAAGTTCTTTTGGCATATCCTGATAGTAGGAGTCTAAGATATCTCTATCACTATAACGACGAGGATGAGTAAAAAACTAGAGAGTAATCCACGTAACATACCAGCAGCACCTTTTGTAGTGAGTAGACGTCTATAATAATTTACGATATAACACCCCATACAGAACGATGTCGTTGAGTACATTGGTGGACAGGATGCAGAAGTTGATAGCGCATTGAAACAGTTTCAAGAAATGGCTGCAAAGTATAGATACATGGAAATATCTTTACTACAAAAGAAAAAGTCATTAGACGTTAAAATTCCTGATATAAAGAAGACATTAGCGATGGTTAAACATTTGAATAACAATAGAGAAAGTAGCAATAAGACACTATTCGAATTGCACGATACATTATACGCAGAAGCTGAATTAGAGAATACAGACGTCGTCTATTTGTGGTTAGGAGTGGGTTTGCATTCTTGGTAGACTGTACACCATCTAATATACTCCCTACAGGCCAACACCATGCTTAGTTATAAAATACCAGAAGCTATTGCGCTTTTAGATAACAAGTTAAAGCTCGCAGAGACGTCATACAAGAACAGCAACGAAGACTTAGAGTTCATTAGAGAACAAACTACTATCACAGATGTAAATACAGCTAGAATATGGAATTTTGACGTAAAGAGAAGACGAGAGAAGAGAGAAGTTGAAGAAAAATAATCTTGTAGCCAAACGACGATGAACAGAAGTCACTTTTTGAATGATAGATTGATTTACATTCCTGATTTCATTACCCAATCTGAGGAGAATAGCTTGATAGACACTCTAGAGAATCGTATAACACAACGTCAATGGAGGTATGACGGCGGTTATAAGTAGGTAGTTAGTAATGTATTACATCTATAACACCAAACTTAGGCATCAATTCATTGGTTAGTTAACTTGTCTTTATTTACAATATACTTAGTTATATCAGGTGGACAACTAACAAAAGCTGGAAAGTTAATACAGAGTAGCACACCTGATCATATAAACAGCATTTATACAAGAATACAGGATTACACTTCTGTATTACCCAACTATTCAGAGTTATACGTCATACAACCAGGACAAGGACACTCTGGTAGTGTGAAAGCTACAACAGCTACTCTAACGTTATCGACACATCTAGTAGTGCAGACTGAACTTGCTAATACACCCATATTATTAGAGCCCCGTAGTTTACTCATAGCCGTTGATAATGGACCGCCTAATGTTATTCCAGGCGCAGTTGATAGAGTAACTTCACCACCAGCTTCTTTATTAAACGCAGAACATTTAACAAAAGATAAATATAAAAGATTCGTGATTTCTGGTGGTCAATTACCGCGTTCGGAAGGATACATCTTGACGATGTATGATATAAAATCAATAACTAAATCATTTATTGATGTATTAAAGTAATATTTTCATTATTATATTCTCATTTACACGCGTTTCTGACTTTATGATCTCTTGAATAGCAACCACGATAAAAAGGAATAAAGAAATAAAAACTAGCAGCTAAATAGCCCAATGGATACGCCATCAACGCCTGCTAAATCTAATAATCAACAATTACCAACGCTCTCGCCTGGTACTCAGGAATTCCTCAAACGGCATAATCTAGATCAGCGTTTACTAGACAGCGACGACGATGATGACGATAGTTTTGATCCTGCTTTACTAGCTAGCGCATCCAGAAATGCTCTAGCTAATTCAAAGATCACAACTGATAGCAATAATCTAAAGGAATCATCGAATAGGGATTTAAAGGACATTTCTAATAAGGACTTATCGAATAGACCAACTGCAAACCTCCCACGTAGAGCTACCCCACCTGATTTCAAAAGGAGTAGCCCTTTAAGTGCTAGTGTCATTGCAAACTCTAACGTTAAACCTACAAATATAGAAAATAAAGTATGTTTTGCTATCCTTTTATGGATATTCTAACATAAACACGTAGACACCAGCGAATTTCCATACTCTAACGCGTAAAGATGTGCCTTCAAGTCAACAGCGTCCATTGAGGTTACTCCCGGAGACACCAAATATACCATCAAGTTCAACATCACAAAACCCGCGTACAGCTACTTCAACTGTACGTCGTCGGCGACCAGCTGCAGGCACACAACGTCCAGATAAGAAATGGACACCTGCAATGTTACAAATGCTTCAAGGTGGACACGATGAGGAAGATTTTGATAGTCTAGAAGGTAGTGATGGTGGTGCTTATCAATCGACTAGTTATAATACACCTGAGAGTGCCATCTCTGGTTACTCGCCTGAAAATAACAGAGAGACGAAAGAAAGACCAATGCTTGGACGTAGTTTTCCAAGCACCTCGAGTTACTCAGCGAGCGAAAATAGTGTGAGGAATACGCCGCCTTCCGTAACTCGTTCGACCCATAATCTCAAAGAGAGAGATAGTGATGAAGAGGAGCGTCATAGGGCAGCTCTAGAAGAGAGAAGGAGGAAAGACGAAGAAGAGGAAGAACAGCGGGAAAGGGAACGACAGCAAGAGCTTGAACGGGAAAAAGAACGCGAGCGAGAACGTCAAGAGAAAGAGGACCGAGCGAAAAAGGAGGTCGAAGAACAGCGAGAACGAGAACGGCAACAGCAAGAAGAGCAGCAAAAACGACAACAGGAGGAGCAACTTTTGCTGCAGCAACAACAACAGCAAATGGAAGAAGAACAGCGCAGACGACAACAAGCATCAGCACCTCCACTCACGGACGCCATCGTCCCACTTCAACCGCCATCCTATGTACCACCTCAGCAGATGGCTTGGCCGCAGCCCAACCCTTATCTCGGTATGCGTCCTCCAAGCTATATAAGCGTACGTGTTTTATTTACTAGTCAGACGAAGTTAACGTACTTGGAAGGTTAATGGTGTACCATATATGCGATTAGATGAACTAGGCAAAGGTGGATCATCGAAAGTTTATCGCGTTCTTAGCTCGCAGAATGAATTACATGCCATAAAACGGGTACGCCTTGACAAATGTGACCCTGAAACGGTTACCGGCTACCTCAATGAGATCAGCTTGTTACAGCGACTTAGAGGCAACGACCGAATAATAAAGCTCTGGGATTGGGAACGTACAGGTGGTAAACTAGTTATGAGGATGGAATGTGGTGAAATAGACTTCGCCCGTTTGTTGCATGAGCAGCAAGGTAAGCGTTTGAATATGAACTTCGTTGGTATGTATTGGGAGCAGGTGGGTTTTAACTTTTGTTTGGTGTTTTACTGAAGATTTTTAGATGTTGCGCGCTGTACATGCTATTCATGAAGAAGCCATCGTACATTCTGATCTCAAACCTGCCAATTTCGTTCTCGTGAAGGGTTCATTAAAACTCATTGATTTCGGAATTGCAAAAGCTATACCTAATGACACTACGAATATTCATCGAGACTCGCAAGTCGGAACAATAAATTATATGTCGCCTGAAGCAATTACAAACCCATCAGGATTGGGGAACAAGCGGGGGTTAAAGGTGAGTGGAATTACTGTTGGGGTCGCTATCTAACAACCACTCAAGCTGGGTCGACCTTCGGATGTCTGGTCATTAGGATGCATTCTTTACCAAATGATATATTCACATCCGCCATTTTACCATTATCAAAACATCCACAAGAAGCTTTCAGCTATACCTGATCCTAACGTCGTTATAGATTTTCCGACATATAGTATACCCGTCGAACCACCACAGCGGACGGCTAGTGGAACTTATGAACCAGTTCATCGTCAAGATCTCGCTGTTAAAGTTGATCAAGATGTTTTGAAAACAATGAAAAGTTGTTTAAATAGAGACGCAAGGAAGAGAATGACTATACCTGAATTACTTGATAGTGATGAATTTTTACAACCAAAGCAATCAACGCAATCACCGAACGGAAAAGCCAACACTTTGAGTATAAATCATGCACAAATGAATCAATTAGTGAAACAAGTTATTCAATTCGGTAAATCACAATCGAACAATCCTAGCGTACTCAAACCTGAAACAGTATCTGGAGTTACACAAGCATTATGGAAAACATTAGGCGATGCGCAGAATTAATATGTAGATTTTGTTTATTTGTCGAATATAATATTACATTACAGTTTATTGTACTTAAGTGTGTATAAGAAGTAACTAAACCAATCACCAACCTCTTGGACAGTGAGTGACCATTCTGGATTGACGTTAAGTATTGACCTCCGGAAGTGCGGTTGACCGAAGGTAAAGTAAATGAAAATACTCTCCGGATTTTTCTTCAATACGCGTTCAACTTCGCGAACTTCACTGACACAATTTTCAACGATCTCTTCTGAAGGATTCCAAGGATCTTTTACACCAGCGAGGAGAGCATCCATTGTGCCCTTATCGATAGCAACGTCAAAGCTGTTATCTGGAAGGTCTAATTTGCGTATATCCATTACTGACCCTAGTGGATTTTGTCAGGTCGTCGACAAATTTGAATACAATTTCACGTACATTCCATTCCCACTCTATCTATATTTGCTTCTCGCATTTTTTCAATACAAACCGGTGAATACTGATGCTGTTTGTTAGATAAAATTTGAAAGATGAAAAGCCACATTTACGTCTATATTGAGTATATTATGGTATCCATCGTCGTACATATCCCTTGATAGAGTTGAATTTCCGCAACCTAACATCAATATTCTGGCATCTTTATTTGGAATTAAAGGAGCTAAATGTTCACGAATATCTGAGTATTTCTTAAACCAATCGAAATCACCGTTATCCCTATACATTTAGTTAATTGAGAGTTTAGATTGTAGGTATATCTTCTCACTTTGTATATCTCTCATCCCTGAGTGGTATTAAATGTGATAAATATATAATATAAAAGATAAAAGCTCACCAATACTCTTGTGTCATATAATCAGCAGTTTTGTTAGCGACTAAATCCATTTTTCTATCTTTGATGACCAAATCTAAGGAGCAAATGAGTTCAAATGACAACCAAGCTGTTAGAAAGTGATAATCGGATAATCTAGAAAGTTATGCTTATAGCGTATATCATTAAGTGTAAAAATGATTAAATGTTAATTCATCTAAAACCTTACAAACGAAAAGTATGATATATCGACACCATTAGGTGTAATATTAATATCCCTTATCTTATTCTTATTTGACTAAAAAAATGACAGCTGTTGTTATATTTTGATGCAACATGATTGATAATTTACGCATATTGCAAAGACTGAGATTATGGAGTAGTACCTTTGTATGATTAGCTGCGTAGATTCAACCAATGAATAATTGAAATGTGCATCACATTTGCTTGATTGTGAAATTTCTTATTATCTTAATAACTGGCTGGGATGAACAACTTTGAATTGAGTAAACAGATTCTTGCCGAGGAATTTCACTACTGGGTTGTATGATTTAGTTTACCATTTGGACATATTAACAATCAGTAGGTGTAAACTATTCAGGCTAGTGAGCTAATTTACCAGTGTAATAATCTTTCAAAGTAGCAAGGAATTTAATTTGTTGCTAAGCGCCGTTCAGATTGGTATGGTCATTGCAGGCAGTAGTGGATGTGTCTCAAAAATGGATATGAAGCAGATGAATATCAATGTGCGTTTGATGACTGATTGTTGAAAATCAGTTAGAATGTAAAACTCAGACTGTGATTTTCCTGTAGAAACGATCAAAATCAACCGTAATCTCTCTCATTTCGTTTGGATAATAGCTCAGCAGTTTAAAGGTTCCGTATCAAGCTATATCCAAAAAATGGCCAAAATTAATGTACAAGAATAGCTCTTTAATACTCTTTAATCATTTTATCATCTTTTTTTTTTAGTAAGACATACATTTTTAATCTGCAATGACTAATGCTAGTGGAGCATTTATAGATGTCTTGAATAACTACAAACAACACGAAAATGCCAGCGTTTATGCCAATTCATGATTTAAGTCAATTGAATGACATGGCTAGTATTCCATTGCCGATTATTATTAAAGTTAAAGGTGTGTATAATTCGTTTATCATATAAACATTTCCTGATATTATATTAGATGACTTTGAGTGAGTTTATACTTGTATATTATATATGCCGCCTAATGTCTTAAAGTTACTATGCGATTGATTCTAACCTCGACGACCTCATCGAAGAGCATCCTCAAATACGATTGGCCACATTCAATATTTATGAGAAAACTGACATTGCTATGAAATTAAATGCTATACAGTAAGTATTTAAATTTATTGACTGCACCATTAACAAAGCGTCAGCGCCCCAGCTTTCCTCTTGTACCAAGCAGGTGAAATAAAGGACAGTATTTCAGGTAATATACCAGAACAAGTGAGTTCCTATTATTTTCCCCTTCGTTTAAACATTTCCCTTAGGTCCAAGCATTCATCGAGAAGGCGAAAGAATCGGTTCAATAAGAAAATTGAATTAACGCATTTATATAATAGCCTATTGATGTACTTCATTCATGTGTGACTAAGTCAGCAACTCTATGACGTAATACAAAACAAAACAAAAAACAACCTAAGCGGTTAGCAGCTAAATAACCCAATTCATACACCATCAACACCTGTTAATTATGATAAACAACAATGAATAACGATCTCACCTGGTACTCAGGAATCTCTTAAACGGCATAATCTAGATCAGCGTCTACTAGGCAGCGATGACAGCAATCATTATAGTTTTTATCCTGCTTTATTAGCGAGTTGCATCTAGAAACTTACTGACTCATCGAAGATTACAACTGATAGCAATAATCTAAAGGAATTATCGAACAGGGATTTAAAGGACTTTATTAAACAAAGAAGTATCTAGTTGACCAACCATAAACCTCCGACTTCTGGTATTCGCATGAAAATAATAAAGAAACGCAAGAAAATCTATTAATTGGGCCTATTTTCTTGAGCACGTTGCCGTCTCTCACCCGTTCGACCAAGAATATCAGAGAAGTAGTGATGAGACATTGTGTAATACGACTATCCTAGTAGAGAAAAGAAGACCGGCGAAAAAGGAAGCCGAAAAACTGCGAGAGCTGCAGCAGCAATATCAGCAAATGGGAGAAGAGCAGCGAAAAGAACAATCATCTGCACCTCCTCCCAGGGAAGCTGTTGTCTCATTCTATTGCCATTGTATGTCTTCCATAGATGGATATTATTGTATGTTTAACGAAATTTAGATACAATGTAGAAATTTAGGCTGTAATGTTCTTATAGAATGCTTGGGTTGATTATAATCTCTATTATTTCGATTGAATAGTAATTGAGCGCTTTTAAAGTTCTGTATCAAGCTATGCCCATAAAATGTGGTCAAATATATTATATAAGAACTCTTCAATACTCTTTTATTTACTTTATCACATATTTTATAGTAAGACAATCCACTTTTGATCTGCGATGACTACATCCTAGTGGAGCGCGTATAGATGATGTCTTGAGAAACTACAAACAATACTGCAATGTCACAATTGATACCGCTTTATGATTTAAATCAACTCAACGATTTCGTTGATCTCCCACTTCCAACTATTGTTAAAGCTAAAGGTATGTATAATGCGTTTATTATATAATGCTTTCTAATACTATTCTAGCCGGACATGAGTGAGTGCATATTCGTATGTAGATATATATTTTCCGCCTAATGTCTTAAAGTTACACTGAGATCGATTCTAACCTCAGAGAGTTTATCGCAGAATATCCTCAAATTAGATTGGCCACATTTGATATTTATGAGCAAAGAGACATTGCTATGGAATTGAGTATCACTGAGTATGTATTTGAATTTCTCGACTGGCCCATTAACAGAATATCAGCGCCCCAGCTTTCCTCTTGTATGAATCAGGTGAAATTAAACATAAAATTACAGGTGATATACCAGGACAAGTGAGTTTCTATTTTATTATTATTATTTTTAACATTCCTCATAGGTCCAAGAATTTATCGAGAAAGCAGAAGAAGCGCTTCATTAAAAATGGAATTAAAAGATCTATGAATGCCTATTTAACTATTTCATTTATTCGTGATTGTCAGAAACCCTATGACGTAACACACAAAACAACCTGAGACATTATTAACTGAACCACACAATGGATATGCCACAAACACATGGCAAATCTAATAATTAATAATTAACACTGCTCTCGCCTGATATTCAGGAATTCCTCAAAGGACATAATCTAGATCAGCCTTTACTTGGCAGCAACGACGACGACCACGATAACGACAGTTTTGATCCTGCTTTATCAGCCCACACTTCCAGTAATTCTCTAACTGATTAAAAGATTACAACTGGTAGTAATAATCTAAAGGAATAACCGAATAGAAATTTAAAGGAAATTTCTGACAAGGATTTACTAAATCGACCGACTGGAAACTTATAACTTCTGCCACACGCCTGAAAATAACAGGGAAATGAAAGAAAGTTCAATTCTTGGGCATAATATCACAAGCATTCCGCTTTCTCATTTGTTCGACACAGAATATCAAAGAGGTAGACACGGAGTTGTTTCATAGGGTTGCCCTAGAAGAGGAAAAGAGGAAAGATGAGGAAAGAAGAAGAGCGAGAACGAGAGCGACAGTAAGAGAAAGAAAGAGGAAGAGCCATAACAACAGCATGAGAAAGAAGACGGGGCAATAAGGAAACCGAAGAATAGAGCGATAGTGGCAGCAGCAACGACAACAGAAAATAGAAGGAAAAAGCGAAGGTAACAACAGGTATCAGTACCTCCACCCGCTGACGCCATCTTCCCCCTTTCAGCCAACATATGGATATTATTGTAGGTTTGATGAAAATTAGGTAGGATCCAAAAACTTAGGATGTAATTTTGTTAGAAAATGTTCAATTGGCTGACGTCTTCAATATTTCGTTTGAATAATGAGGCAATACTTTTAAGGTTTTGTAACATGAAATAATAGCCTTGAAACGCGGCAGAATATATTACATTAGAAACCTTTGAAAGCTTGTAATAGTTCATCATATATTTTATTAGTCAGTAAATCCATTTTTAATCTGCGATGACTAAATCCTAGAGGAGCGCTTATAGATTTCTTGAATAACTACAAACAACATAAAAATGACAGAAATCGTTCACGTTAAAGATTTAGAACAATTCAAGACTCTTGTCGGTAGCTCAAAGCCAACTATTGTTAAAGCTGAAGGTGTGTATAATGCGTTTATTATAATCATTTTCTAATATTACATCAGCTGAATGGTGTGGTCCGTGAGTATATATACACCGTACTATTAATCCCTATTAATGTGTTCTAAAGTTGCAAAATGATTGCTCCTATCGTCAAGAAGCTCGCCGATGCAACTCCTCAAGTTCAATTCATTTCATTCGACGTTGATGAGGCTTCTGACATTGCGGAGGCATTGAGTATTAGAAGGTAAGCATTATATTCTCTTAAGTGCACTGCTAACGAAATGTCAGCATGCCAACATTCTTCTTGTACAAATCAGGTGAAAAGATTGATCAATTCTCAGGTGCTACACCACCACAAGTAGGTTTTTATTATTCACCTTGACCTTTTTAACACTCCCTTCAGGTTCAAGCATTCGTCAAGAAGGCAGCAGAATTGGTTCAATAAGGATATTGAATTAAAGGATTTATATAAATGTTTAGCGATTTATTTTACTATGCGTGATTAATCAGCCATTTGATGATGTTACACAAAGAATGTGATTCATTTCGCCGAATCAAAAATGACATGTAATGGTCTTGATAGCCACTGTATTTGTGTATATTTGGTAGTATTACAGTCTATCACTTCTCAATAATTAAGATTAAATATTATTCAGTTGTCCGCACAGTATACATGGTGACCAGTTTAATTATTCAGAGGAAAATTTTCAAACCTTTCAAAGAATCAATCACGGTGTTTCTGTCATCGGTGAATATCGTACTTAACTTACCAACAAGCCACAATGACACATCCTCTGGTGGTTAGTACCGAAGTGGAATATAACAGAATAATCAACTCCCATTCGCTTGTTTTTATCAATGCGTGGGCGACCTGGCATGATGAGTGAGTTTATATTGACCAAATAAAAGAGACGCTCATGTAAGAATTACGCAGTTGTGCATTCATTGAACCTACTTTCATGGTTGGGTTTTGAGACATTCTTAATCTTACATGGTGACACTAACGGACAAATAGAGGATGGCATTGAAATACGGCGACAAAGTTAAGTTTGTAGGTGTTTTTAATGTATTTGTCAATCCTCTTATGATTGTTACTGTCTAGATTAGTATTGATGTCGATGAGTTACCTCAACTATGCAATCGTGTACTCGGAGTTCGCTTCATGCCTGTTATTATCGCTGTTAAAAATGGCATCAAGTTCAAGCAGTGAGTTTGCATCTATTGATATTATTAAAACTCTAAACACGCTCATCAAGTATACAAAGTAAAGTACCAATGAGACTCAAAGAATTCATAAAGACCGTCATCATAGAAGCAGATGAATGAAAATAATAATGAATTAGTAATGTAAAGATTAAATGTATTCATGCACGTCTCTTTAAAACCCTATTAATTGAGTTTTTGACAACGAGTGCTGCTTTCTCAGTTTCTTTCTTAGAAAGTGCAGAAGATATGGCGATCTTAATTGATGCTCTTGGCTCAGTTGGTGGTGGTGCTCCACCTGGTGCGACACGAATGCCAGTTGAACCTGCTGATAATGCACCAATATCGCTTTCTTGACCTCGAAGGTGACCTGCAACGGTGATAAATACACCATTAACAAGTGCATCATCGCATATATCCCCAAGTACAGCTTCTACACGCTCCTCCTCGCTTGATTTTTCTTTTTGAGATGTTGATATAATTTGTAATTCCTTGCTTTGCGAAAAGAAAACATGTTGAATAGGTGAGAGGGCATGTGATGCCAATTCAATGCTATCTATTGTACTCAAAACTGACCTAAAAGATGCGATATTGGTTTGCAAGGAGTGTACAATGTTTGGTCCACTGCTTGAGTTTAATATTGAAAGTGTTTCATTAGCGCTTACAGCCAACATTGGTGGAAGTGAAGCCGACTATTAGAGTTGTTAGCTTATTTAATGATAAGCTATCATACCCACGAAAATAAAGGCCGCAGAGTTGATGCGTTGGTGTTCAACTACGACGCTTTCTCCAGCGCAGAACCCACCGGCACTACCGAGGGTGTTCGCCATTGAACCAACGAGAATGTCAACTTCTTTAGCCTAAATGAGGTATTAGGAGGCTGGATGGGGTTTTTAAGATAATACTCACAGGTATATCGTACAATTCAGTCATTCCTCTACCGGTATTGCCAACAACACCAAAACTGTAGCTTTCTTCGAGAATCAATCTATACTTGTACTTCTTTTTGAGTTCAATAATGCGTTTAAGATTTGCGAGACTACCATCATTTTGGAAAATACCCTCTGAGCAAATAAATTTTCTCGTAAGTGGAGCTTTCCTACGTTTAGCTTCTCTATTGATAGAATCTAAAACGGTTTCTAAGCTGTTCATATCGTTGTGCTTGTACCATCTGACAGTTGATCTAGAGATTTGAAGACCTTTTCTGATGGCGAATGAACAGCCCTCGTCTGCGACAATGATATCACCTCTCTTTGCGAAAGTAGGTATAACGGAGGTGATAGTAGCGAAGCCTTGCGAGTAAATGATAGCTGATTCTGTACCTAAAGTCTGAGCAATTGATTTTTCCAAATCGATGTGTACATCCATTGTACCGTAGAATCCAGGTGGTCCACAGCTACCAACACCATAAACTCGTAGAGCTTTAGTTGCGGCATCCTTTATCCGTTGATCACCTAATAAACCAAGAAAGTTGTAAGACACGAGGTTCGTAACTTGTCTGGCTTTATCTGAAGGTTGACCTGGTTGAGAGACCTTTGGTTTGATAGAAGGTGGGCCAATAATTGTTGGTGCCTGCTTGATCTCAGCTTGTGGTACCAAAGGTTCTGGTTGCCAATCGTCTACCAACTCGTCAATCTCTGTAGAGGACAAACCGACGAAACCTTTCTCTGCATCCCTTCTAGTACGCTTCGATAACCAGACTCTCAATGCGAACAAGAAGAGTAACAATTCTAGCAAAGACCTCCAAGGGTCATTCTGATAAGAGGATTTAACGTATCTAATGAAAATAGAAGATCCGGGTAGTTGTTGCAAGTAATGCGCTATTCCTTCTAGCTCGTTGTACATTTTTATTGAACTTTCACGTGAAAGTGTTAAAGAACTCAAAAGGCGCGCATTTTTTGTGAATTTCTTCTTCCAACAAAACGACGAGGAGTGAGTAGATATTTAATACACTCTATGGAGACTATATGATGTTACATCTTTCCACTGAGATCCTTGAAGACTAAAAAACACGGTATAAGAATTCTTCGTTGCTGACTAGTCACTATCGGGTGTATATACATAGACGATTACTGACAAACTAATTAGGCTACTATATAGATAATATTATTTTTCTTTTTTGTTTTGTTTATTTATTATTTATTGGACGTGCGTATTTTTATTTTTTTGTGTCTTGCTTGTCCTTCAACTTCCAAGGCTATAAAGACTAGAAAGACTAGAATCGAGAGATGCAGACGGTATGAGTGACATGTTAGTAGATACCATAGTTTACTAGTACACATTTTCTAATAAAGCACCTTCCAGTCTATCATTCCCGCTCCCCCCTCCTAGAACTCTAAATCAACCGGAGATCGTCGTTACGGAGAACAACAATAGAAGTTCATTCAATCCCTCAGAACCTCCAAAGCTACCTTTGCCGCCTACGCCAGCCAGATCACCATCTATTCACTCTTCTGCATCCTCTACAAAATCTAAGAGATCGAGTTATTTTGATAGTTACCCTGAGAGGAAAAGATCTTCTGTTTTGAATACGGACGTAGCATCTCTTAGCTCAATAAGTCTAAACTCTAATAGACTATCCAAACACCCAGATGAATGGATAGATTTGGAGAACTCCTTATGGTCCGCACTATCTGGTGATAATTTAGAAAGTCCGACGGCTATTCTAAAATCATTAGAGAGTAAGAGCTCTCAGTTGACGCTATCTAATAAAAATAAGCATGACCTATCACTTGGTTTATCCGACACAACGACAACTAACAAACTACTCGACTTGGAGAGCAACTATGAATCAACTAATGGTCAACCATCTTCTCCAAAGTTGTCTGAACTCATATCGACCACTCGCAGACCACGCAAAAAAGCTGCACCACCTTCCTCTCAAAATAGTTCCAGAGTTACCTCTATCGATAGTCTTCAACCGCTCAAATTATCAGTTACAAAGCGTAGAAGCTTACAGAAGATGAACTCACGTGCTAGCTTTAGGGCTGACGATGGTAGTGAAGAAAGTGATTTAGATGTCTCCGCAAGTTTGACAGACGTTGCTTCAAAGTATGGCTTTTCAGCTTGTGCTGATAATGAGAAGCGCAACAGCGAGTACAGCAGAAGTGATGATCCAAGTGTTGACCCAAATGACACCATCGTTGCATCCCCAGAGCAGATTACTTCGTCGATATCCCCACCAACACCCTCACGCAGTATTCGAAAATGCAAATCAACTGTAACTTTTTCACCTACTACCAATGGATGGAGTGATGATGAAGATAGAGATAGGCTAGGTCCACCACCTCCACCTTCCTCGAGATTGAAAGCAAAAGCGAGCAAGAGAGCTCTTCGTGAGAGTAGGGAGATGTCTCAACTGAGTAGAGCTGCATCGATTGTAAGTCTTAAACATTTCCGACATCACTAATGACGAAATTATAGCTTCAAACATCCAAGAATTTACCATCTCCATTACTGAAACCAGTAGATGCACGTAGACAAATGAGTGAACCATCAACTCCTAACTCAGCATCTCCGAGGTCACCAATGTCATTCTCGACCTTGAGTGTTGCAAGTACATCAATTACAGATTCAGATATTGGAAGGATGCAAAGCAAGGAGAGTCTAGCAGAGAGTTATAGTTCCACGAAGCCATCCTTGGCATCTACGAAGGTTGTCGTCAATCATCCAATCCATCACCACGAGTATAGTAGTAGTGATGAAGAGAGTGAGGATGACAGTAGGTTACCTACGCCTATACCGTACCATAAAAGAAATTCAACGCTTAAGCCAACCTTATATGACGAATCTTTGACGCGTGTTAAACCGCATCGATTATCAAACTATGCATCTCTTCAACTATTAAATGATAGAAGAACGACAATGAGTGGTCCAGTTAATACTAACACTACTACTCCAAAAAAGAACACACCTAGGAGCAGCTTACCTAGTCGTCTAAACGTTGATCAGGATGAGACACCAAGGGCGAGGAAGAGCAGTGGACCGATAATTGGAAGAGCTTCAACCGGGCCATCAATGGGTGCATCACCGAGGGCATCTTTGGGTGCACCGAAGAGCGTACAATCGGGCGTACCATCGAGACGACCATCGAAGTCACCAGTGAGATCATCAGTGGGACTGTCAACGCCAAAACGCGTATCTGATGGTACACCTGATCTATCCCAGAAATCCTTTTCTGGATCTAAAGGAACTCCAAGCATTGTACGAACTCGCTCCTCAACAGTAGCTAACCAGACACAATTACCCACACCCGCGAAACTGAAGAGCAGAAAATCTGAACCTGATTTACATAAGCGTAATAGGCACAGCCTATCTAATACGCAAAGAGCAACTGGAGTTAGCTTGAGTAAAATCAATGCTGGTGGTATAACACGCGAATACGAAATCCCACCAGTGCCATCACTACCGAAACTTCCTAAAGCAACAACAACATCCTCTGCTTCGAAATCAACGCCCTCGCTCTTGAAATCACCGTCAACTTCATTATCGAAAGCACAGTTACTGAGATCACCATCTGGTTCTTCACTCAAACCAACAGCAATACCAAAATCAAATATACCTTCACCGAGTATACCTAAGAAGTTAACGAAGAAACGGTAGAAGAGTTTTATGAATGTTTTTATTTATTTTTCTAGTTTTTTTTATGAACAGTAACAATATTTGACAATTGTTTAAGATTTACCCTTTGTATTCTTTATTACTTATTACTTTCATTTATATATATTCTTACTAGCTTTTCTTTCATCGATTATATGTACTGTGATAGAGTTTAGGACACCCCTTGAACTCTATTCGCGTTGTCTTTGTCAAGATTTTCAAGGGACGTGGTGAGCTTTCGAAAATCCAATCGTGGATTGAATGGAGGTGGCAGCTGTTTTAAACTGCTTGAGGTATTATTATCATATTTTTATGGCATTCTCAAAATTCGCTAACGTATTTAGAGGCAAATTTAGCAAAACTAAGGATGAGGATTATGTTGGGAATGAGCATATATCCTCGCCAGAGTTGGTTTATCATACTAATAAGAGCATGGTAAACTTACTAGACGTGCAAACCCCTCACCATAACACTAAAAGCAGAGGGAAGAAGAAAGCCCGTAATTCTCTCACGCTTGAGAGTCCACCAAGGAGTCGCGCTAAGAGTATGATCGGATCTCAGCAAATCACTCAAATGGGTTCAATGTCTCAGTATTGCGGTTATCATCCCATTCAAGATGGCGAGCCGTGTGGTCATGGTATCAAGTCTGAGGTTCGCTCACCCCGTAAAAGTCTCCATAGTGGTTTTAACTCTAAGCATAAACCACGTAGACGCGCATTTACAATTGATGATGATGATATCCCACCTGTTCCACCATTACCTGCAATCTACACAAACACACACGTGAGTATCGTCATGTAAGCGATGTGTTTATTAGTCTAACAAATTGCAGGCTTATTGAAGGTGACTAAACGGAATATATCAAGTTTCTCTAATGCTTATCATTTATCCTACATCTATTGTAAAGCTTCTAATATCTTTTTAATAACATACTTCTATTCCCTTCCATTGAGGAAATCGATGATGGATTTCTGGACATGCTCCGAGTTTGTGATAACAAGATCGTGACCTGCACCTTCTATAGTATCTAATGTTGCACTTGGGAGGTACCTATGCGTGGAGTAAGTATGTCCGTTTAGTTTACACGATAGTTAACCTACTCAAGCATGCGTTCGCTCAGTGAATATGGAACAATTTTATCAACAGTTCCCTTGAATGTGTTAGAAAAGATATCATAACCAACAATAGAAAACCCACCCATATGATGTGTATTGGATTTTTTCTGCGTCTACCAATAGCTTTGTATATTTCATCTTGATCGAAAAGAATGCCCTCTCTAAGAGTAGACAATAAAGCATGAACGAATGGTGGACGTTTTGATTGTATTTCGGACAACTGTGTGTGTGTGTCAGATGGGGCTTTGCAACTGTGAGGAACCCACCTTTGCCAACATTCTGACATTTTCCGGCATACTCTTTGCGTCGTAGTTAACAGGACCTGACGGTCTCATAAGTCTCTTCAACCATGATGGCTGTGCTTGTTAGTGGGTGTCTTTGATTAATAATCAACATACAGCCTCAATAAAACTCGTTGGATCGATCTGGCGTGTGAGTCTAAATGGGGTAGGATCTTGGATATTTTAATTAGCATTTTGTATACTTCCATATAGCCCTACATACCCATCAACCCTGCCGGAGCGAGAAGTATGATCTTTGAAACCATATGTGGGAAAATATCAGCAAAGCTGATCGATATAGGAGCACCCTGGGATGTATTAGAGGGTTTTCTTTAGGAGATGATTCAACCTCACCATAGAATAACCGCAAATGTGCGCTTTTTCGAAACCGACGTGGTTCATTAACAAAGCGAGTGTTGTTGTATATAATGGCCCATTGTATGGAACAATAGGATGGTCTGAATAACCTCTACCATAGTGATCATACATCAACACTCTGAAACCAGCATTAGCGAGACTTGTCCCAAGTTCGCGCCAAACGAGACATGGACTGCTAAATCCATGCACGAGAACGATCTGGAGTGATGATTTGAGTTACTGTGAACGTTACTACCAGAAAGACCCACCTTATCACCCTCTTCTGGTCCGAGAAGGTAATACTTCACGCGTCCATTCGGTAAACGGACATCTGAACCACCTTCGAATGCATCAGGTGGGTATACCTCATTAACCCCCTTTCCTAATTCACTATCAGGGTCTAAAGAACCCAAGCCGCGTTCAACTTGAACGCTGAAACCATTTGTATGCTTTGTTGGCTTCGTGTTGGCGAAAATAGATGAGAAAGTTCTGTATAATTGAAAAGTAGCTAATAGAGAAGCTGCACCTAATGCTAGATGCTTATTTTCTAAAGTAATAGTCATTCCTGAATGCTTGAATACTGACAATGATGACGGTGGAGGAAGTAAACGGGGATAATAACTTGGAAAATAACAAAGAAAGTACATCCAATAAAGTACATCCTATATACCACGATAGTTCACAACATCGTCATTGGAGATATACGCCTACAGAGTTAGCAGATAAACGGCGGATAGCAAATGAGAAAGCTATCGCATTAACACGTACCGGATGGGATAAAGAGAAGGAACTAAACCCTAACTCAGAAATGAGCACTTCAATTACACCCCCTTCTGTAGAAGAAGAAAATGATCTTATCGTTTATTATCTCAGTCAAGTTAAACCGATTTGCAATCTATTTCAATTCCCTGAAATCGTAGAAGCCACTGCTGTTAGCTACATCAAGAGGTTTTACTTGTTTAATAGCGTGATTGATTTACATCCAAAGAGAGTCATGTGAGATTGATTGATGTGGTGTTTGAAGGTATCTAAACATTCTATAGGCTTACCAGTTTATTCCTTAGTACAAAAACAGTGAATACACCAATCAGCATTAGTGACTTCGCTCATTACATCGGTAAAGGAAAGATAAGCAAGGAGAGTATACTCGATATTGAATTCCTGATATCTCAAAATCTACGGTTTGAGTATGCAACCCACCCTGCTCATAGAGCCGTTTGGGGGATTTACTTGGATATGCAAACCATGCCGAGTAGACAGAATCAACAAGTTCTAGATGGTATTTTTGCAGAAGCGAGACAAACAGCGAGATTGTCTAGATTGACGAATGCAGAATTTATATATACACCCTCACAGATAGCTTTAGGGTGTTATGTCATGGTTAATAAAACTCTCGTAGAAGAATACATTGAGTGGAAGAAGCAGGAATTCCACGCTGAAGCGCCTTCTTTCGATGCTATAGACGGTGTGGTCGCGCTAATAAACATACAAAAAAGTAAAGGTGGTCTCAAGAAGGAGACGGTCCAGGATATCGACAAGCGACTAAAACTCTGGCAAGATCCAAGTAAAGTCGAGGGTACAGCGATGTATAAACGCAAACAGGAGGAAGCAGATAAGGAAGACCTAGAAAAACGCAACAAGAGACAACTTGAAGCTGAGAAGAGCAAGTACGAAAGTGAGAGTGTATTTGGAGAACCACTGGAGACGCTTAAGAGGAGCAGAACTGATGATGGTGAAGAGAATGAATAAGTTATTATATATGATGCATATTAGATAAAAGTACATGATTACCTCATCGCTGTGATTATTTGGCAGACATCCTCTGATAAGTAGTATCCCTGGGTGAATAAATTAAGATAATAATGATGTAAAATATCACACTCACATTTGCTTTACGCCACATACGCTACATTTTCCTCGTTTATATGCGCAATCTGGTTGTGAAGTGAGTAAACATATAGGTAGCCACAGATAAACGCACTTTGGCAGTATTTCGCGTCTGGTCTCGCCGTCGTTTGCTTACAAACTTTACATTTCGATCCACCAGTTTTGGCAGCGTATGGAAGATACCTATCTGGAGAGCTCATTAGATGGGAGGGTATGGAGACTACGCCACCTACTCTTAGATAGCAGTTTGTTCTTCCCCAGATCGTTGCGTTCGTCCGTTTGTTTGCTCGTTGAAGCTGACGCACCTAACGATTTATTACGGAAAGGATCAGGTGCAGCTACCTTTGTCTGCTTCTTCTCGCCTGTGGGTGGTTTAATTTGGCTTTTCATTTTATCTTATCACTCACATTTAGCGCAGACCATGTTGATAGTCGCTGATAGTCGTTGATAGTCTACAATCAAGATGTCATTTACGCGCACTACTGTTAAAATTGTTCTCATAACCTGCATGGTCGGTGTTCTAATAGAGACACTGCCGGGCGATAGTGATAGCAGTAGCGATCAAGCAGATACCAGCGAAGAAGATGCAGTGGGGATAGTCATGTTCTCTTATATCCTATTTGCTAGGATTATAAATGCACTTAGGATACCTCAGTTTATTAGCATTCTCTTTAAGACAACGATATCGCTCATTATTAGATTATATGATCTCATTTTAGTAGTGCTTTCACCATTAACCTTCCCTTTTTCATTACTACACATGCCAAACATCTTATCACAGGAAGCAATCAGTCTCACTTGGCTGCCTCTCTATCAGTTCATTGGTGGTACAATAGTTGTCGGTTTCTTGATAGGTGTTATAGCTAAAAAGCTAGCATTGTAAGCTTTTACAGTTTATTTCTATGGAGAGAGTCTATCAATTGACCAAGTATGGTTGACTAGCTCATCAGCCATCCTATCAACATCCTCAATTGGAGTTATCGCGTCTTTTGGAAGCTGTAGCTGCAATTGTTCGAGCGGACGACTATACAGGAATCTGTCGTGTAGCCTACTTGGTCTACCCGACCAAAACTCAATCTGACTGGTGAGCGTGTTAGTGAATTTCCAGATCATACGGTCTCGTATACCCACAATGGAACTAAAATATACCCGCCCCAGAATTCTGGCAATGGGATATCATCCCCTTTGTACTTTTCCCTTGCATCTTTCAATCTAGACTGAAGGGTATCTCTTCCATCGTCATTCTCGCTGTGGGGTTTGAGTATGCTGCTTTGCTTACTAGCATATGCACCCAATCTAGATTCTTCACTCCTGCTGTGGAAGTACTCCCGTGACTCTAATAAAGGTGACTTTACGATCCTACCCCTGAGTCTAACTTGTCGTTGTGTTTCGCCGTCGTTGTTCTGACTGTGTGGGTAACGCCAGTGATAAGTGAGAGCGCCAAAGGGATTAGCAGATATCTCTCTACCCTTTGAAGAATTGTAGTTTGTATAAAATGACACTCCCAGTCTATTTATACTTTTTGATAAGACGACACGTGAATCCGGTAATCCATTGCTATCGACAGTCGATAGATTTACAGCTTCTGGTTCTGGTACACCGTTCTTGACTGCGTGTTCAAACCACTAGTAAGTTATTAGAGAATTGTTATACATCAATAGACACGCTCATAGGCGCACTCATACGCACACTCGTGAGCTGCTCTATAGCGTCAGTTTTGAGATCTCCACGAGTAACTCCGGGGCTGTTGTACTGATTGTGGGTATTTATATCTATCCTTGTCGTCATCACTCTCCTTACCAACTTGGTCGTGCGAAACGAAGACATGAATGACATCAAATCATGCTCAGAGAATATAAATATTATTTGATAAATGCTATAATTACACGGGTGCTTCGGCGGGTGCCGAGTCAAGCGAGTATCCTCGGTTATATCCCGGCCGTTCATTCTGCTCAGTGAGGGCAGCTGGGAGTGACGTTGGTGAAGGGTAATTCGACACCAGTGGTGAATTTTGCTGTGTATCAGTGGTACTATGTAACCGGTCTCTGTGCGTAGTCAATTCTTGATGTTTCTCCTAGTATCAGTAAGTATACATTTCTACATTGGAACTCCCTACTCACTCTCATAACCAACAAATCTTCGTCGACTGCTTGCGAAGAGAGCTGTACATCATCCAAATTACTCAGTGCTTCACCAAAGGACGAGTTGATGTCTTGCCAGGTATTAACTGAGACCTTCTGCTTGGCTTCATTTATGTAATCCTTTTTTGAATGTCTACCACGTTTCTTCCCTTTCTTTTGGTTAGCCGTTGGGAGTATTGGAGGTGGAAGTAATTCATGCTGCTCATTCGTCTTCTGCGCCAGTTGAGAGATGGGTTCATGACGGACTATTTTGGGTAACTCCAACGTTCTCTTTTCACGCTCAAGTCTTCTTCTCTTCCTGTCGTTTCCTTGTAGACCATATCCCCAGCCAAATGAGCCTGATTCGACCGCATCGCCTTGACCAAAGTGGAGTTGTTTAACACGCTCCACCCAGTTAGTCCATGCTGATTCCTGTTCTGCTTGAAAAGTTGTCTTATACGATTCTTCGAGTTTCTTCAAACGTACACTAGCAAGTGATAACCGTGTATCTCTGCGGTTTTTGAGTATGTTGTGTAGATGTTGTAATTCTGGATGTGTGCCTGAGATGCGGATGTTAGTTGTGTGTTTGCTTATAAACGATAGCCTCACCATCTGCAATCATTGCGCTCTCTTTGGCGACTTCCTCCATTCTCTCGACATAGAGTTTATTCCTAAGCATTGCAAACTCAATTTCCAACTTTGTAAGAAAAGCGAGAGCTTCTTCACGCTCATCGTCGACATGGTATGCTGTTGATGACCCGCCAGCAGCATTTGTAGGTGCGTCCTCATCGTCTTCGTCTCCTTCTCCTGCCTCTCCTTCTTCGTCTTCATCATTTCTCTCGGATTCATCGTCAGGCTTTTCCTGATCATCATCACGCTCATCTTCATGCTCTTCTGGGTGGCCGATATCGGTTTTATCCTCTTGTTCTATATCATTCTGCTGGTCAACGTCATCCTGCTGACCGACGTCTTCAACTTCCATTTTCTGTTCATCTAGCGAATCAGCTAAGGTATTTGCCTTCTCGTTATCGTCATGGTCAGCAGGGCCGTCTATACGGGTGGGCGATTCCGTCATCATTTCACCCTCTACTGCCATATCTAAAAGTGCTTCGCCTGCACCAACTTCTTTTTCTGTTGTAGGCGCGGCTACAGCTTCTGGTGGTGGATCTTTTGCTAATTCCGTTGCTATCTCGGTAGGAATTGGGTCCAATGCAGAAGTGAGCGAGGGTTCAATTTTAGTAGGACTTTTTGACATTTTAATTCTATCTTCAGGTGGTTCGCTCAGATCAGAGCTAGATTTGCTTCTCGGTGGTGAAAGCGGCTGAGTCGATGCTTCTGAAAGGCTATCGTCGTCTCTTTTTGTAGCTGACTTATCGTGGTAATTTATTATTAATTTCTTACTCTCCCTTTCTGATTCCGGCGAGCTTAGGCTGCTGGTGGACATACTGTGTCCCGCTGAGATCGTAGTCGGGTGGAAAGAAGCAAACTAGGAGATGAGAAGAGGTAGTAGGTCAGATGATTAGAGTATTCTGTATTCATTATTCGTTATTTACTATATAAGTGACATGCATTTATATTGACAGGATTGTTAGGAGAATACAAGTTGGACTACCATTGAGTGTTATAGTTGTTGTATGACTTTCTATATGGCTATATGGCTATCTATATGACTGTCTGTGTGGCTATCTATATGGCTATCCAATATCTCACAAACCGCTGTGAGAGCTAATTTAACACTAAAGATACCCAAGAAGATATACCGTCCTCTACTAAATTAAGGTATAAACAATATCACCTTTGCCATAACCGAGGTCAGAATGTCTTTGTATTGTGTACGTTATACCGAAACCGGGATGAGATGGGATGAGATGGATTCGTCCGTCACACCATTATTGTAATACATATTAGTCTCTTATTGTGAGATCAACTAATGTCACCTTCTGTAAAAAGAAAACAACCCTTCTGGTAAGACCTACGAATGATGTCAGCAAAGTAAGAGCAATATCTCTCCCTCAATACTACGCTTTAGAGTTGATAATTGGATCAGATATTATGCACGAATACAGACGCTCTGTGGATTTATGAGATTCCTGCTACCACAGCAAAGAAAAATCTTGCTAGATAGCAACATATTCATCAGGATGGGTATCATGATTTTGTCATCCCTTCATAAAAAAACCACCTTTATACCCCTCAACGGTGATTATTTATACCTTATAGTGAGATTTCAAGATCAACCTTCCATTAGCTGACTTAAAGTACTCTGGAAGCTACCACATGTGCACTTATGCAGAAGCCACTTTACGAGATCGACTAGGTATAACCCGCAGAATCAGCAGACTCATGGAGTTGATGTCTAACATTGTTTTTAGTGCGTCCATAGACTGTCCAGCTCATTAATAAATGCTAGTATATCATGATACCTAGTAAACTGCTGGCTTCATAATTATCATCTGTGTATTGTATTGTATTCTATATCAAACCCTTAGAAGTAGCTACTTCCAGTTACGCTAAAGCCATGCATCGCTGTTTCAGCGCACCACTGTTGGTGACGGTGATCCACGGAGATAATTAGGACATTATGTGACAGACTATCATCTGACAGTACTTTCGAATATATACGAATCTTTCCGTACCCTGGTCATCAACTAACGGGTGCGGTTTCATTGGTCAAGACAGGTACGAGAATGAGATATTCCAATATGTACTCTAAAGGTGCAAATAATAAATTCAATCACCAGATATGATTTGCCCGTATTCACTCCAAATATAGGTCAAATGATGGTATTTTCCCGAAAGAGGGCACCAGCCGCATTAGGGAGGTTGGAAAGTGGATGTAGGATATAACGGATGCGCAGCATATACTATACTGCCTTCGTGCTTGTCTTCTCGCCGAGGTGTGATTTCATCTGCTCTGCATCAGTAAGGTAGATCGTGACGTCATCGTAAAAAAGACGGACAAAGGATGACTCTACCGCCATTTTGAGTGTTTCTATTGAGGCCCGCTGAAGAGTGCTAGTCTTTTTGACCAATATGGTGCACATCATTGGGTGAAACGCACTCGTGAAGAGAAATTCCGCTAGAACAACAAACGTTGTATGACTGTGAAATTAGAGCGCCAGCGTGGAAACGCCACACCAGCATACCCACAATAGACCTCCCCTTGTAAATCTAGATATTTCGTTTCGGTAGCAAGAACTTGCCGCTGATGTAGCGATAATGATGTATATGGAAGTGCAGCTTGAAAAATGAAAAAAACGACGCTTATGGGCCAGCTGAAGTCATCCTTCGGATATACTCGTTATCCATTGATGTCAGTCAGAATTTTCATTTGGAGCGAACTATAAATCGTGCGTCCCACTCTTACTTCTCTCAACTCATCACGAATTAAATAAATTATTATGTCAGGTGGGCATCCAGTAAATAAAATAAACCCTCTAACAGCCTCCAGGAGCACTTTCAGTCGTCCCAGCCGGTGTCTTAAGCGGTGTCGAAGCACTCAAGCTCTTCGAACACGCTAGAGAAAACAAGTACGCTATCCCAGCGGTCAACATCACCTCATCATCTGTCGCCAATGCAGTCCTCGAAGCTGCCCGCGACATCAAGTCCCCAATCATCTTGCAAGTCTCCAACGGTGGTGGTGCCTTCCTTGCTGGTAAGGGTCTCGCCAACGACAAGCAACAAGCCTCCGTTGCTGGTTCCGTTGCCCTCGCACACCACGTCCGCTCAGTTGCACCACTCTACGGTATCCCAGTCATCCTCCACTCCGACCACTGTGCCAAGAAGCTCCTCCCATGGTTCGACGGCATGCTCGATGCCGACGAAGCCTACTACAAGATCAACGGTGTCCCACTCTACTCATCCCACATGCTTGACTTGTCCGAGGAGACTGACGAGGAGAACATCTCTACCTGTGTCAAGTACTTCCAACGTATGGCCAAGATGGGCCAATGGTTAGAGATGGAAATCGGTATCACCGGTGGTGAAGAAGACGGTGTTAACAACGAAAGTGAGTGTCTTCCTCCTATGACGACATGTCTGACGTCATGCAGGCGCATCTGCTGAGTCCTTGATGACCAAGCCAGAACAAGTCTACAAGGTCCACAAGGCGCTCTCCGCCATCTCTCCATCATTCAGCATTGCTGCTGCCTTCGGTAACGTCCACGGTGTCTACAAGCCAGGTAACGTCAAGCTCACCCCAACCATCCTCGGTGAGCACCAGAAGTACGCCCGCGAGCAAGACAACAGCAAGAACGAGAAGCCGCTCTTCTTGGTCTTCCACGGTGGTTCCGGCTCCAGCAAGGAGGAGATCACCACCGCCGTCAAGAACGGTGTTGTCAAGATGAACGTCGACACCGACGTCCAATGGGCCTACCTCTCTGGCCACCGTGACTACATTCTCAGCAAGAAGGACTACTTGATGACCCAAGTTGGTAACCCAGAAGGTGAGTGAGGGTAATAGACACCAGACCAATTTAGTAACGTCCCTGTAGGAGCTGATAAGCCAAATAAGAAGGTGTTCGATCCTCGAGTTTGTGCGTAGTCTATTATTATCGTCTAGAACCTATCTAACTTGCTACAGGGGTCCGTGAGGGTGAAAAGGCGATTGTCGAGCGTGTCAAGGAATCATGCAGAGACTTGCTCTCAGAGAACAAGCTCTAAGCTTAGGAATGTTGCAGAGAAAGCTTTAAGCGTAGTGTATGTAATGTACGAATATTAATGTTTGATACAAAATTTGCTTCT